TGATTCCACTTTGTAATTATTGTAAAAATCGTATTGGTGGAATAAAAAAAGTATGCAATAATTACAAAGTGTAAATTATAAAAATTTTCAATTTTTTCATGCAATTTCAAAAAAAGTGAAAGTGAGACATATTTTTTGAAATGAAAACAAAACAATTTTTAGCGATTTTTTTCCCATTTTCTTCTGTTTTTGATTGTATTTTTAAAATATGAATTTGCATATCAAATTAAAATGAAAACTGTCATAAGTCTTTTTCAAAACAAAAACATTGAGTTTCGAAAAATTAGTAAAATGTCGTTCAAAATATAAAAGAATATGGAATAATAAAGGAAAAGTACGAAATCGGAAGACCTGAACAAAATCACATCACAATAGAACTTAACTGATACTTCTAGGAACCCCCAACCAACGTTTTAGTTCATTTCATCGAGTGCCAGCAAGCCAGGCGAGGAGATGCTTTGCGGCGGCGGTGTGCCCCGTATATGCCCCACACCGGCGCTCTTTCCCTGTACCCAATTCATCAGCGCGTCATCCGTCGCCCATCCATTATGCGTATGCGCGCCCAGGACCTGTGCGTGCTTGGGTATCAGTCGTGCATCGCGGGTTCGACTCCTCCACTCCTGTCTGTGCGTTTTCGTTTTTTTTTTCTGTTTTCATGCGGCGACATCCTAGAATGGCCGAACAACTAGAAAAAGTCGGGAGTAATTGCCAAACAGTGAAGAAATCTAGTGTATATTAAAAAAATAAATGCTCGTCAAGTAGCTCGCAATCGCACGATTTTCCGACAGAATACATACTCTCGCTCCAAGAAAACTCCGTAGACTTTCGTGTCTGGCCTCCTTTAAAAAACTCAAAAAAATTTCTTGGCTTCCCTCCTTTATTTAAAAAAACCTTTATTTTCGGATTCCTAATTTTTGGGAATTCTATTGATAGATCAAGAACATACCTATTAGTATCTGTGCATTGCAAAACAACGACTTACATTTAAAAATTTTCAACAAAAAAGCCTTTCAAAGATCGTCACTTCAGGCTTCTTTGATCCTCCCAAAACCCCTAATCCGCTTATCATCAAAAGCCAGTCACGCCTTCTTATATGTACATTCGAAAATCTATTTTTCATTTTTCAACACATTTAAAATATTTGCAACCGATGTTTTGCTTCTAGCTAGTTTGCTCTATACATCTGTTGCACAGTTAGCCTCTTTCCCCAAAAACTTTTGTTTGAACAGACTGAAATTTTGAAACCTACCCCGAAAAGGGCTTTTGTTTATGTTTGACCTTTTTCAGGCAGAGCCTCAAACATTTCGACCCCACGCCTAAAACAAACGAAAATATGCGGAGTGCATTCTAGGCGAACTGTGTTGAACGTTTTGAATTGGGGGATAGTACAGGACAATGGAAAATTTTAACTTGGAGTCTTGTTAGTATCCTAGGAAATATCACCGTGGAAAGGTTGGTAAGACCATGGTCGGAGGGATGGGACTACTGTCGGCCTGTTGGGTCATTTTAGGAATTTGGGAACCTCAAATCTTAGAGAAAAAGGTCATAGAATATTCTTACAGCAAGTTATTTTTGGAAGAAGCTTCTCGAGTAAATGTGCAATTCACATGAGATCGCTCGCCGAGCAGGAAAGGACACACAACTTTTTTTTCTTTGAATTCTCAATGAATGAGGGGAGGGTTATTTCTTTTTTTCTGAGTTTCTTGAGAAAAAAAAATCTTGGAGTGTCTGCTTAGTGTGCACTTAAAGAGAGCAAAGGTTCCGGATTTTTATGTAAGTTTCAAAACATTTCTAGTGTTTGAAAAGATTTTTGATGACTACAAAGGGTATTTTAAATTCGGAACCATTTTCAAAAATGTTTCTTGTGAATGAAATCTTGAGATTCTGAAAACCTCAAGTTCTTGAATTTTGATGCTCAGAAATTCTGAGATTCTAAAATTTTGATAATCTACAATCCTTTAGATTCTGAAATTCAAAAACTCCGAAATGTTGAATTGCTGTAATTCTCAGTTTTTGAAATTCTGTGATTCTAAAAGTCTGAAATCTTTGAAATTCTGAGATTCTGAAGTCCTGATGGTCTGAAATTCTGAAATTCTGAAATTCCGAAATTCTGAGATTTTGAAATTCCGAGATTGTGAGATTGTGAGATTGTGAGATTCTGAGATTCTGAGATTCTGAGATTCTGAGATTCTAAGATTTTGAGATTTCGAAATTCTGAGATTCTGAGATTCTGAAATTCCGAGATTCTGAGATTCTGAGATTTTGAGATTCTGAGATTCTGAGATTCTGAGATTCTGAGATTCTGAGAATCTAAGATTCTGAGATTCTGAAATTCCGAGATTCTGAGATTCTGAAATTCTGAAATTCTGAAATTCCGAAATTTCGAGATTTTGAGATTCTGAGATTCTGAGATTCTGAGATTCTGAGATTCTGAGATTCTAAGATTCTGAGATTCTGAAATTCCGAGATTCTGAGATTCTGAAATTCTGAAATTCTGAAATTCCGAAATTTCGAGATTTTGAGATTTCGAAATTCTGAGATTCTGAGATTCTGAAATTCCGAGATTCTGAGATTCTGAGATTTTGAGATTCTGAGATTCTGAGATTCTGAGATTCTGAGATTCTGAGATTCTGAGATTTATCAATCAGGCCAAAAGTCCGAAAACCCTTGACATACCAAATTCAAAAATTCAGAAATTCAGAAACTCCGAAATTTTGATATTTTGAGATTCCGAAAAAATTTCCGAAAAAAAAAGGAGATTCTGAAAAATCGGAAATTTTGACTTTTGGAGAATTTTAGATTCGGAAGCTCTGAAATTTTGAAACTTTGAAATTCGGAAACCTGGATTTCTGAACCTCAAAAGTTCTGACATTCGAAGATTCTGAGAATTTTTGAGATTCTGAAAATTGACACTTTGTGAGATTCTGAAATACAAAATGATGAAAAATCAAAGCATAATCTTTCCCGTTATCTTTTTGTTTTCCATTTTACCCACTATCACATCATCATCATGAAAAATATCGTCATAAAATTTTCTCACACGAAATCTCAGAAAGCCAAAAAACCAAAAAGGTCAGAAAAACAAGCCAGTGTCACCTATTATTTACTTCTGGGCTCTCCATATTTCTTCTTTTCATCCCTGCCATCCAAGAAAAAAAAACTAAAAATACCTCAAAAATGTTTCAAAGGAGGGGAAAAAACACTTTTCCTATAGCTTTGCACCGCCCTTTAAAGTTGGTGAGCTGGAAGGAAAATTGCTCACATTTTTGGTCTTTGACGAACGTTTTGTTTGTTTTTCTTCCAGCTACTGGGTCATAGTTTTTCTTCATTTTTCATCCGCGTTTTCTCAGGAGAATTGGACAATGGAAATTTCCGAAAAACCAAAGTTCTTGGAGCAAAATATTTTTTGGGAAGTTCAAAATATTTTTTGGGAAGACTTTCAGTTTTTGAATTTAATTTCCATTCCCGAAACTCCGAGATTTTTGGAATTTGTCCATTCAATTACCATTAGAAAATCAGCCCTATGAAATTCCCTTCTTCTCGAATTTTGTTTAACAATCCACGAAATTGAAAATTTCCAAAAAGTCAATCTTCTATACAACTAAGGGTTTCTTAATCTTTCAATTATTTTGGGGGATTTAGTGGATTTTAATCGAAAATTTTCCCTATCATAGCTTCGTGCTGTTTTGAATTGGAAAATTCGGCTGAATAATGTTTTGATCTAACCGAAATTTTGATCTACGAATTCAGAAGAGATTTTTCAGTTTTTTTCAGATTTTGAGATTCTCTGAATTCTGGAGTTCCGAGACTCCGAGATTCTGATTTTTAGGTTCTGAAATATATAGATTTTTCGATTTTCAAAACTTTGAACTTTCGATTTCCTGTAACTCAAAAACTTGTGAATTCGTGAAACTTCCTTCCGAAAAATAAGAAAAATTAAAAGTTCCAAAATCGGAAATCCAATTAAAAAAAACAATATTCCGAAAATTCGAACTTTCAAGGATTCTAAAACTCTGAGATTCTGAGATTCTGAGGTTCTAAGGTTTTGAATTTCTGAGATTCTGAGATTCTGAGATCCTGAAATTCTGAGATTCTGAGATTCTGAGATTCAGAGATCCTGAGGTTCTAAGACTCTGAGATTCTAGATTCTGAGATTCTGAGATTCTGAGGTTTTGAATTTCTGAGATTCTGAGATTCTGAGGTTTTGAATTTCTGAGATCCTGAGATTCTGAGATTCTGAGATTCTAAGACTCTGAGATTCAGAAATTTTGAGATTCTGAGATTCTGAGATTCTGAAATTCTAAAATTCTGAAATTCTGAAATTCTGAAATTCTGAAACTCCGAAATTCTGAGATTCTGAAATTTTGAGATTCTGAAATTCTAAGATTCTGAAATTCTAAGGTTCTGAGATTCTGAGATTCTGAGATTCTGAAATTCTGAAATTCTGAAATTCTGAAATTCTAAGGTTCTGAGATTCTGAGATTCTGAGATTCTCCTCTCCTTCGTACGCTGTTCAATTTTCTCTCACATCATCCGTAGTCTTATCACAAAACTACAGAATACTTTCTATCCGATAAGTGATTCATATCAAGCAGAAATCACAGTCCTTGTTTCTGGCAGTATAAAAAGGTTTTGTTTTCCATAAAACTGTGGAAGTTTGAGAGTCAGCGAACATCCGATAATTTTGGTTTTCAAAAACACAATTTTTTGACTACAAACTCCTAAATTTTGGTTAGAAAACCCTAAAATTGTTTATAATCACAAATTGACTGATAACTGTTTGTCTGTATAGTTTCCGTGGTTTATTTTGTGTCCTATCTTCTTTTTATCTCTGCGTCTCTCCCCATTTTTCTCCCTCTGTCTAAGTCTCCAATCCTCTAACTTTTGCCTATTTTCATCTTTTCAAAACACTTTTAACAAATTCCAGATGCTTTTTAAATTCTTTAACTTTCCGTTCGATCATTTTTCAAAATAATAAAAAATATTTTCAGAAAAAAGAAATGAGTACCGATCAGAGGGATCGGTTGCTCGAGGGAGTTGGCTGGAAAGCCCGAGGGGATCGGATTCCAGAATTTCCGAACCCACGACCATTTTTTCCCCGACTCAAACACTCGATCAAGTTGATTCCGCTTTTTGTGAGGTGATGTTTTGAAAAATTGTCCTGGCCGGCAGCGGCTGGCCGTGGAGAGCTTTTTTAGTCTTTTGATTTTCAGAGTCGCTCTTCATACGTTTGTTGAGTGGTGGAATGGACGAGAGGCTTTTATAGACATTTTCAATGTGTTCCGACACTTTACCTACACAGGTCAGTAATTGCGCTCTGTTCGAATAGACTTATATTAATAACCAAACAAATTTGGTGGCATAGAAAGGACTTATATTAACCTGTTGTGTTTTCTAGGTCATTTCAACATGATGACCTAACTTTCGCAAGTTGAGTTTTCTAGGCCTTCATTATTAATGGTCTTGGTACTCCCATGGTGTTTCTAGGCCATTTTAACAATGTTAGATAAATTTTCCAAATAGTTTTCTAGGCCACCATTGTAAATTGTCTGATACTCACCTGTTATGTTTTCTAGGTTGCCTAACTTTTGCAACTCAGACTATTAGGTCACCATGGTAAATGACCTAAAAATAACCGGATACCCGCTTAGTAGGTTTTGTAGGCAATTTAACATGATGGCCTAACTTTTGCAAGTTGAGTTTTCAAGGTCATCAAATTTTAGGGCCTGTAAAACGCCTACCTGGGGTGTTTTCTAGATCATTTTAACATGGTGGCCGAACTTTTGCAAGTTGCGTTTCTAGGCCACCATGGTAAATGGCTTAGAAATCACATGGGGCGAATTTTAATCAAAAAACCCCAAACATTTTTTTTCAAAAAATACACTCCGAAATATCGCATCCAGTTTAGCGGCTCCAACGTTTGAAAAACTAATTTTTATGGTGCCCCTTTTTGTATTACAGGGACCCGTTTGGTACAGATTTTACGTCATTTTTTTTTAATTTAGCAAATAAATTCTTGTACAAAAAGATCAAAAAATCAAAGCAGGTGAAAATATGACATTTTTCCCTCTCTCTTCAAGCTTTCCAGTATTGCAGGTGTTCCACTAGGCGGAATTGGCAGCGGCTCCATTGGTACCGATTTTCGTGGCGGGTTCAATCGTTTTTCAATAATCCCTGGAATCAAAGAACAGACAGAGACGCAGAAATGCAATCAGTTCATAGCATCGGTTCACTCCAAAAAGACCTTTGAACTCATTTACCAGTCAATTTTGTCCTGCGCCGAGTTTCCAGCTACAGTACTACCAAAATGGGATTCAACTATTCCCGCAGAGGACGTCAGATATCGAGGACTGTTCCCAAGAGCTTGGCAAGAATTCCGACTTGGGACGTCGGGGATTACTGTAGTTGTCGAACACTTGTCACCGGTTATTCCAGAAGACTACTCGGATTCTTCGCTTCCATTGGCCAATTTCGACTTCCACGTGTTCAATGATTCTCCAGAAGAAGTCGAGGTTTCAATTACAATGTCATTCCGAAATGGAACTGGAAATAAGAAATGGAATGATGAAAGTCTATGCCAGTGAGTTACTAATATTAGGAACTCTAGGAGAAATCCGAATTTCAGAAGTCACAAGGTTCAAAAAGACACTATGGTTGTTCGCACTCTATCCCATACTGTAAAGGGTATGCCAGTGACATATGCAATTGGAACCGAGGAGAAAAATGGGGCAAAAGTTACCACGTGTCTTTTTGACCCGAATGGGACTGGTGGAAGGTTATGGAGTGATTTGGAAGCTTATGGACATCTCTCATGTGAGTTTTTTGTGTAAGGAATATTTGGGATTTCTAATTTTCAGCCTACGATCATCTCCCACCAAAACCCAAAGAGCTAGGTATCGCAGTTTGCTCCTCGTTCTTCGTTCCACCCGACGGATCGCACACCACACAGTTTTCACTGGCCTGGTATATGCCACAAGTACATTTTGGAACGGCAGAGCGGTTTTATAACAGGTCAGTTTTTTTTTTGCTTTATAAATTTTGCCGTCAGTGTATCCATTCAAATAGGTTTCAAGACATTTGTCGAAAATTCGTCGGAAAATTGCGATAAAAGACCAAGAAATGGCATGATACTTAACCTGATGTGTTTTCTAGGCTATTTCACACAGTGGCCTAACTAAAATGACGTAGAATTTGTCTGATATTTAACTGGTGTCTTTTCTAGGTCATTTTCAAGCGAGTGACTAATTTTTTCAAGTTGAGTTTTCTAGGTCACTACGGTAAAATGATCTGGAGATAGCCAAACGTGCCCCAGTTTTTTTTTCTAGGTCATTTTGAAGAGGTGGCCTAAATTTTGCAAGTTGAGTTTTCTAGAAAATCATGAATTCCGAACGGCCTAAAAATGTTCTTATATGACCCTGGTGTGTTTTCTAGGTCATTTTGAAATGATGGCCTAACTTTTGCAATATTGGTTTTCTAGGCAACCAGTTCCAAATGGCCTAGAAATGGCATGACCCTGGTGTGTTTTCTAGGTCATTTTGAAACTCTAACTTAACATCTGGAAGTTAAGTTTTCTAGGCCACCACTTTTTTTTTGCCTAAAACTGCTTTAACATAACCCTGGTGTGTTTTTAGGTCATTTTAACATGGTGACCTAACTTTTTCAAGTTGAATTTTCTAGACCACGCAACTGGCCTGGTGCTGGACTAACTTTTGTTTCAAAATGACCTAGAAAACACCCCAGGGGTGTGCTAGGCCATTTCCATGCCATTTTAGCCTGGTGGCCTAGAAAACTTAACTTGAAAAAGTTAGGCCACCACTTCGAAATGACCAAAAACGAAGAATGAAATTTCAGCAACGACACTCCGAAACATAGTGTATTTTTTCGAAAAATCTCGAGGAACACATTCCTCGAAAAATTTTTCGAAAAATGAAAAAACATTTTTTGAAAATTTTCGAGAAACGTTTTTTCTCCAAAAGATACACTCATTTTCACAAAACTGTTTCCAGACGATACTGCCGATTTTTCAATGGCCCCGATGCCGATGAGGTCGGTGCATCCATCTGTCGTCACGGCCTTCAGAATATTGAAACGTGGCAAGAAGCTATTCGAAAATGGCAAGACCCCATTATCAACGACGAGAAGTTGCCGGAATGGTATCGAAGCGCGATTTTCAATGAGCTCTATTATATCGTGGATGGCAGTACTGTATGGTTTGAGTATGATCCAGAATGGCGAACTGATGAGATTCTGATTAGCGAGGAAACTGAGAAACAGTTTAAGCAGTACGGCAGATTTGGATACATGGAGAGCTGGGAGTACTTCATGATTAATACGTATGATGTTCATTTTTATTCGAGTTGGGCGATTTTGAAAAATTGGCCACAGATTGAGATGTCCATGCAAATGGATTTTGGTGAACTAGCTCTTTAAAATTACTTTTAATGAATGCGATTTCTAGCCGATCAAGTGGATCGTGTGGATTATGGAACTGCTACATCTCTAGCTGACGGGGACACCATGACCATCAAAAGCTACGACCGAATTCCTCACGATATGGGACATCCGAGTAAGTACTAACCTTGTCTATTTTGTTTCTAGGGCTACAGTATCCATAAAATACTGTAGTCCCTGGAAAGCTTCTGCTGTCCGTTGTCCCCCCGCTTTTTGCTGCTTTTCAGCCCCCATCTCCCTTCTATTCAAGAACATCATCGACTTTCAGTGGCCGACCCTTGGATCCATACAAACGCGTACATTTTGCATGATACAGGACACTGGAAAGATTTGAATTTGAAGTTTGTGATCAGTTGCTATCGGGACTGGAAAATGATCGCCGAGGGGGAGGAGGATAGTCAGGAGATTTTAGAGTTCTTTTTGGGAAAATGCACGAAAATTGTGGATGGAGCACTGGAGAATTGGGATAAGGATAAGGATGGAATGATTGAAAATGACGGGTTTGCTGATCAAACTTACGATGTTTGGAAGATGACTGGCACCAGGTTAGTAGACGTTTTTCACAAATTTCAGTGGACAACGCTTGAATTCCGAAAATTCGACCTAAAATGTTTCCATTATTTTGAAAATTTCAGATTACACTGAAAATGAAAAGAGTTTGGTTTTTGTAATTGACAACTTTTTTCCATGTTTTTGAAAATTTCTTTTTGAGATTCCGAAATTCTGAAATTTTTACAATTATTGAAATTCTGAAATTCTAAAATTCTGAAGTTCTCAAATTCTAAAGTTCTGAGATTCTGAATCGAAAAACTCCAAAATTCTGAAATTATGAAATTCTGAAATTCCGAAATTCTGAAATTCGGAAATTTTGAAATTCTGAAAAAAAAAACTCCAAAAAATAAAAAGTCCAAAAAAACAGATACTTCAAACAATCAAGAAATAAAAGATTCCAGAAATTCGGATTCAGTTTTTCAAAAATTTCGAGTACTTCAAAAGTTTCAAATATATCTAAAATACTGAAGAAATTAAAACTTTCCACAAATGAGAAAATTTTTTTTATTTTTGTTAAAACAAACATATTTTTGTCCGGAACACTATAAAACCTGATATAAATTCCAGCGCTTACTGTGGCTCTCTCTGGATTGCTGCTCTCACTTCCTACATCCAAATGCTCAAAAGAGCCGGTATCCCAACCAAAGATTATGAAGAAAAACTGCTCATGGCCTATGAAGCCTACACCACAAAACTATGGAATGGGAAATTCTTCAAATTCGATGAGCTCCCAGATAACTCCAAAATTGTGATGGCCGATCAGTTGTGTGGATTCTGGGCTCTAACAGCAATGGATGAGCCGATTCAGGTGTCTGAAGGGAAAATTCAGTCTGCGCTTGAGACGATTTTCAAGTATAATGTGGAAATGTATGATGGTGGGAAGTGTGGAGCGGTGAATGGATTCTTGTAAGTGCTGGGTAGGAGGGTCCTAGAATCTGATTTGTCTACTTTTAGAGCCAGCGAACGAGTTGATGGATCCAGCATCCAGAGTGAAGAAGTCTGGGCTGGCATCACTTATTCATTATCTGCGATGATGATTGAAAAGGTATGTAATTCTAGGCCATTTGAAAATTTCTAATTCCTAGGCACCCATTTATTTACAGGGAATGGATGAAATGGCATTCAAGACATCTGAAGGGTTATTCCACTCGATTTGGAATCGATTCCCACTACAGTATCAGACCCCAGAAGCCATCACCGCTGATGGAATGTACAGAGCGTTGGGATACATGCGACCGCTTTCGATTTGGGCCATTCAACATGCGTTGGACAAGAAAAAGAACAGAAAATAATAATTTTTTTGTTTATTTTTATGAAATTTTTTTCTTTTGCATCATGTAACATTTTTTGGTTTGAAGAGAGAAATAAAACAGAACACTTTGTGGATTTTGGAGATGAAAAGTTTGATATTCTGAAAATCCGAAATTTCGAGATTCTGAAATTCTGAGATTCTGAAATTTTGAAATTTCGAGATTCTGAGATTCTGAGATCCTGAAATTCTGAAATTCTAAAATTCTGAAATTCTGAAGTTCTAGGATTCTGAAATTCGGAAATTCTGATAATCTAAAATTCTGCAATTTGATGATTCAGAGATTCAAAGATTCTGAGATTCTGAAAATCTCAAATTTCGAGACTCTGAGATTCTGAGATTTGGAGATTCTTAGATTTCGAGATTCTGAGATTCTGAGATTCTGAGATTCTGAGATTCTGAGATTTTGAGAATCTGAGATTCTGACATTCTGACATTCTGAGATTCTGAAATCTTAAGATTCTGAAACACTGCGATTCCGAATTTTAGAAATTTTAAAATTCTAAAATTCTGAAACTCTAAATTTCCGAAGTTTAAGGATTTCGAGATTCTAAGTTTCCCTTATACTCGGATTCTGAGATCCTGAGATTCTGAGATTCCGAAATTTTGAGATTCTGAGGTTTTGAAATTCTGAAATGCTGAGATTCTTAGATTCCGAGATTCTAAGACTCTGAGATTCAGAAATTTTGAGATTTCAAGATTCTAAGATTCTGAGATTCTGAGCTCTGAGATTCTGAGATTTTGAGATTTTGACGTTTTGAGATTTTGAGATTCTGATGTTTTGTTGAAATTTGTGCTTTCAATGAAATTATTTTTTTTGCATCATTTTTCAGGCATTTTGAGAATTTTGGAGATCAACAATTTGAAAATTTTTTCGCGCCAAAAAAAATTGACCGAAAAAAAACGCGCGATTTTTTTTCGATTCGAAAGAATCGCTTTCTTTTTCACCTCCATTTTTTTTCTCTTTTTTTCTCTCGTGACACCCTCAATTTTTTCAAAAAACTCCAATTTTTTGCCACCTGTCATAGGGGAAAGTACACGTGTTCTATCAATTCTACCTTTCTCCAGATTCTTTTTCTGGACCCCAATCATCTTCTAATTGTCCCCTACTACCAACTAAAAAAGTAATTTTATTTGATCACCGAAAATTTTTTTTGTTGGGATTTTTATTTGGGAAAAGTCACGTACTCCTAGTGAGAATTAGAGAGTAGCGTAGACTGTAGAGACTTAGACAGTTAGAGAAAATGTTTTATGTGATGGACACACATAAATTTTGATGACAAATTGTGTGACAGAAAAAAGTGGGCGGAGCCTAGACTGGTTATAAATGACTGGAATTTTCTGGATTCTAAGCCTCATTTTCTTATCAGGAAACTTTTCTTTCTTATCAATTGGCAACTTTCAGCATTGTACTTTCAAACTTTTTTTTGCCCAAAAACTCAACTTCTCAAATTTTCAGTGATGTCTCGCGAACTTATGGTTGCCGACGGTGGCGAAACTATCGGAAACACGCCGTTGGTCCTTCTTCGGAATATTACGAAAGGATTGGATGCGAGAATCGGTATTTGTCGGCCAAATTTCAGAAGATAGATTTTTTCAGCCGTAAAAATCGAGTACCTGAATCCGTCGTGTTCTGTGAAGGATCGAATCGCAAAATCGATGGTGGATGAGGCGGAAAAGGCGGGACGAATTGTTCCCGGGAAAACGGTGCTTGTGGAGGGAACTAGTGGAAATTTGGGAATCGCGTTGGCTCATATTGGAAAGATTCGCGGGTGAGTGGTTTTGAGATTCTGAAATTTTGAGATTCTTGGATACCTGGATTTATGAATTCCTTGATTCCTTAATTCCTAGTTTCCTAGATTCCTTGATTTCTAGCTTCCTAGATTCTAAAATTCTGAGATTCTTAGAAGATTCTAAGACTCTGAGATTCTAAAATTCTGTTATCCTGATATTCTAAAATTCGAAATTCCAGGATTCTTGTATTTTAGGATTCACAGATTCTTAGATTCTAGAATCCACGGATTCTTGAATTCCGGGATCCATGGATTCTCAGATTCTCGGATTCTCGGATTGTCGGATTCTCGGATTCTTGGGTTCTCGGAATCTCGGATTCTCGGATTCTCAAATTCTGAAATTCTAAGTTTTCAGAAATTCAGATTCTTAAAGTTTGAATTTTTGAAACTTTGAGATTCTGAGATTCTGAGATTTTGAGAATCTGAGATTCTGAGACTGACATTCTGAGATTCTGAAATCTTAAGATTCTGAAACACTGCGATTCTGAATTTTAGAATTTTTAAAATTCTAAAATTCTGAAACTCTGAATTTCCGAAGTTTAAGGATTTCGAGATTCTAAGTTTCCCTTATACTCGGATTCTGAGATTCTGAGATTCTGAGATTCCTAGATTTTTAGATTCCCAGATTCCTAAATTCTTAGATTCCTAGATTCTGAGATTCTGAGATTCTGAGATTCTGAGATTCTGAGATTCTGAGATTCTGAGATTCTGAGATTCTGAAATTCTGAGATTCTGAGATTCTGAGATTCTGAGATTTTGAGATTCTGAGATTCTGAGATTCTGAGATTCTGAGATTCTGAGATTTTGAGATTCTGAGATACTGAGATTTTGAGATTTTGAGATTCTGAGATTCTGAGATTCTGAGATTCTGAGATTCTGAGATTCTGAGATTCTGAGATTCTGAGATTCTGAGATTTTGAGCATCTGAGATTCTGAGATTCTGACATTCTGAGATTCTGAAATCTTAAGATTCTGAAACACTGCGATTCTGAATTTTAGAAATATTAAAATTCTAAAATTCTGAAACTCTAAATTTCCGAAGTTTAAGGATTTTGAGATTCTAAGTTTCCCTTATACTCGGATTCTGAGATTCTGGGATTCTAAGATTCCGAAATTTTGAGATTCTGAGGTTTTGAAATTCTGAGATTCTGAGATTTTGAGATTCTGAGATTCTGAGATTCTGAGATTCTGAGATTCTGAGATTCTGACATTCTGAGATTCTGAAATCTTAAGATTCTGAAACACTGCGATTCTGAGATTCTGAGATTCTGAGATTCTGAGATTCTGAGGTTCTGAGATTCTGAGATTCTGAGATTTTGAGATTCTGCGATTCTGAGATTCTGAGATTCAAACATTCTGAGATTCTGAAATTCTGAGATTCAAACATTCTGAGATTCTGAGATTCTGAGATTCTGATATTGTAAGATTCTGAGTTTCCGAAATTTGAAGTTATGAACATCTGAAATTTTAAGATTTTGAATTCCAGATACAAAGTGATCCTCGTAATGCCGGAAACCATGAGTGTCGAACGTCGTGCCATGCTTCGTGCCTATGGAGCCGAAGTGATCCTTTCCGACCCGATGGAAGGCCATCCAGGAGTCATCAAAAAAGTAGAGATGCTTTGTGAAAAACTTACGAATGCAATCTGTTTGGATCAGTTTTCAAATCCAGCCAACCCAGCAGCACACTACCGTACCACAGGTCCAGAAATCTGGCGCCAAACTCAGGGAAAAGTGGATATGGTCTGTTTTGGAGTTGGATCAAGTGGAACGCTCACTGGAGTCGGACGATATCTCAGACAACAAAATCCAGACATCAAAATTTATCCAGTGGAGCCGTATGAAAGCTCCGTGTTGAGCGGATTTCCGAGAGGAAAGCATAGAATTCAGGGTAAGTTATTTTCAGAAAAAATCTATAGATATGTAGTTCAAAGAACTTAACTTTTCTTCAGGTATTGGTGCTGGCATCATTCCTGGCAACGTGGATCGTTCGCTGTTCACCGAAGTCATACGTGTCAAATCCGATGACGCGATGACAATGGCACGTCGGCTCGCTGACGAAGAAGCCATCCTCGGTGGCATCTCATCTGGAGCCAACGTGGTCGCCGCCGTGGAGCTGGCACGTCGTCCCGAGAACAAGGGAAAACTGATTGTGACCACTGTGAATAGTTTTGCCGAGCGATACTTTACTACGGAATTGTACTCGAATGTTCTGAATGATGTGTCCAAGTTGAAATGGTCCAATGATGAGGAGGCTGTGATGATAGCGAAAAAGTATTTGGGGATCTGAAATTTTACTTGTGCCTGATTTTTTTTATAATCATATGATATTTATTTGACTGAATGAATGAAACTTGTTTCAAATTTTTTGTTAGATGGAACGCGTTCGCTTTTTTTTGAAGAACTGAAGAGCCGTTTTTCGGCAAAATTTAAGACAGATATTTCAGTGATTTCAGAGGTTGTTTTTGGAGTTACGATATGCATTTTGAAGTGACACTAAATAGTGTAGCTCAACCGGTAGCGGCGCGGCATCTCCCGCAGTGGGCCCACAAGTTAAGTTCCTCCAAATGAAAAGAGCATTTCAAGGCTTTTTTTCAGTTTTTATTGAGAGTGCCTTCGATGAGTGATGGTAATATGCAGAATTTTTGATGACAACCAAATTTTCGGTAAAAAATATTTTTGAGAAGAAGCGCTCCGCTGAATAAAAAGCTCGCAATGAGAAATTCAAACAATTTGAATAATTTTTTTCGCACAATACATCACATTGATCGGGAAGTATGGCGTTTCCACGACTTGAATTTCTTGAAAACCACACTTGTTCAGCAACTCCACAGCCCGTTTTTCACCCCACATCGCACCATAACAGAGCGCATTTGCATCATTACTGCCGACGGGAAGACAATGAAACAAGGATGTTCCATACATCATTGTCGCCATATCACCTAATGTAGTCTTGTCCGTATAGACGTTGCTAGTTCCTCGAATCTCTATCATTGCTAAGGTTCCATCGGGTTTCAGAACTCGAAGAACTTCATGAAGGCACTGAAAAAATTTTTAATTGGAAAAACGCCGAATTTCAAAATCTCACCAAGTCAGGTCTACATTGATCGTGACAGGCATCGAACATGAGTACTAAATCAAAAGAATCTGTCCATGCATATGGCATCTTGGCAGCGTCGCATTCCAGGAACTTCAAGTTTTCGAAACATTCTCCTGACGTCATTTTTCGCTCCTTTGCTTGCTTTATAGCGTCACTACTAATATCTAGTCCAATGAAATCAGTTTTCGGATAGTGCTCTGCGAGCAACGATAAGTGAAATCCGTTCCCACAGCCTACATCCAGAACTCGTGCTTCTCCGGATCCAAGCTTTTCGATTATACCGTTCTCAATTGCTTTTATCATATCAGTCACTATGTGTTCCTTTTTTCCAGATTGATTAGTGCCGGCCATGAATTCTTGGAATTTGGTGAATTGAGAGTATTCAAGTCCATGGGGTCCATCTTTTTTGAAACAGTTGATAAGCTGGTTCATCGGTTCGATCAGATAACCAACCATTCCGTTTAGAAGAACTTCGAATCCAGAGTTGGCGAGTGTCTAGAATTTCGAATTGTGTGGAAGAACAAGATTTGAAACAACTACCTCAACATTTTCCTCTTAATCCAAAACTTCTCCTCCTTATTCATTTCGATAATCTCCCCACAAGCCATACAGTTGCACCATTCTCTGACATATCTCTCTTTGCATCCAGCTGCATCGGCTAGTTGCTTCGGGAGCACCGGATTGTTCTCGCTCGAAATTTCAGAGAGTTTTTTGAAAAGGTCCAGACGTTGTCCGACACTAATGGCGTTAGACACAATGTTGCTGACAGCGAGATTCTGAATTTTTTTCGTTTTTAAAATGGCGAAATCAAAAAACTCTAACAAAAAGTGCTCACCATTAATTTTTCTCTGATTGAAGAACCCTCTGACATCGTGGTGAAAAATTCGGAAAATTTTTTATCAAAAAAAGTTGAACAATCCCAATCTAAAGTTCCTTTTATACTCGAAAAATGTGGTTTGTAGTGTGTGAGAGACCTAGAGAATCAGAAAAAAGACAAACTTCATTTTCTTCATTCAATCAGCTTACCAGTTAGCTGATTAATTTTATGTAAAGTTATTCAAAAGTTTCTTTCCCTGAACTTGAATTCATTTTTGGAATCATCATCTGCGCGTTTTTTTTGACTTGTCAATACAAAAGCTAATGATAGCAGAAATTTTATGGTTTGTGACGCATGGTTTGTGTCTAATGGAGATTTAGAGAAGGAGAAAAAGAAGGCACATGTATTTTTCTTTTCATGTCTGCGTTTCAAACAACGTGGCCTAGAAATTCAAACTTTGCGATGTCTAGGCCTCGGTTGTTTTAATGGTGTCTAGAGGAAGACAAACGAAGACCTATGAGAGGTACATTGTAGGATCAAAAGTACAAGAATCAGAGAACTATCGTGTCTAGCGACGAGTTGTTGCAATAAAACGTAACCGAGTACCATAAAGCCTGTAATAGAAGGGCCTCTAACCTTTACTTTTAAGCCATTTTCTTTCAGTTCCTGTCAAAGATATAAAAATTTGTCATCTGATAAATTGCTCATCATGATATCAGGAGCATTTTGTTAGATAAATATTTTTTGATATCATTTACAGAAATTTAGATAATCGAGCTCAGACTTGACAGTGTCGGGGCCCTTCTATTACGGGATTTACGGTAGTTTTCAAAGATGGTGGAATAGTCAAAAATTTTTATTTAAATATAACATCCTTGAAAAGTTGAAATCATGAGCAAAGTTTTAGGATTCTTGAGCTGCCCAGGAACTAATTTTTCTGAGCACAATACAAAACATTAATAGGAAAGTATGGAGTGTCCACCACTTTGACATCTGGAAATCCACATCGATTCAACAAATCCACCGCACGTTTTCGTCCCCACATTGATCCCAAGCAGAGCGCATTTGTATCATTACTTCCAACCGGGAGACACTGTAACATGGGCCGCCCGTATAGTAATGCAGCTAATGATCCCATTGAAGATTTATCCTTGAACACATTACTCGAACTGTTGATTTCTACAATTGCAAATACTCCACGTGATTTGAGAACTCGTTGAACCTCTCAGATGCACTTAAACTTGAATCGTGTATGAACCAAATTATGTAAAATTATATTACCAAATCCGGTCTACACTGGTCACGACAGGCATAAAAAATAAGCACCAAATCAAATGAACCCGTCCAGTTAACTGGCATTTTTCCAGCATCGCACTCGACGAATTCCAGATTTTTGAAAAGTGTACCAGTTTTCGTTTTGCGTTCCTTGGCTTTCTGGATGGCATCACTTCCAATATCCAATCCAACAAATTGGGTCGTCGGGTATTTTTCAGCAAGTAATGATGAGTGAAATCCATTTCCACACCCGACATCCAGCACACGAAGTCCTCCAGCTTCAAGTTTCTCGGCTATACCATATCCGATAGCTGGTATCATATCAGGAATCACATGCTTTTCGTGAAGTGCTTGACTCATTTTTTCCATGAAGTATTGGAATTTGGAGAATTCCGAGTAGGCCAGTCCAGGAGGTCCATTTAATTTGAAACACTCGATAAGGTGATCAAGAGGCTCCAGAAGTGTCGGAGTTGATCCAATCATAACATTTTCAAAGATAGAGTTGATGAGATCCTGAAGTATTTTCGATGGTGTTAAGAGCCACTTATTATTACTGGGAAACCTGTAATAAGCCGTTCAAGTGTCACCTTTGAGCTCTTATATCTCATTTTCTGTGAAAGATATCAGAAATGTTTCAACTGAACAAATGTTTGTGATACCAGCCTGTTTGCCGCGCCTCCGGCGCTTCAAACAGTTGGCTGGTGCGCCTTCGGCGCAGTTTTGTCTATAAATTTTACTGCTCGTCGCTTCGCTCCTCTGTCTTACCCGCAGGGTCACGCATATTTATATTTTATTTCAACTTTTTCAACGTTTGCGGACAAACTGACAGAGAAAGAAACGCAACTTCATTTATTTATTATAAGAATGATTATGATAAACAATTTACCAAAAGACAACTTTTTATAACTTTGACAGGGACTGAGATAAATTGGCTCAAAATTAAACGTTAGAGAGCTCTTCCTATTACAGGTTTTACGGTATAATTCTCACCTTCACATCATCTTCTTCAATCCCAAACTTCTCCTCCTCATTCACCTCGATTATCTCTCCACAAGCCATACAGTCGCACCATTCCCTGACATATCTCTCTTTGCATCCAGCTGCCTAAGCTAGTTGCTCCGGGAGCACCGGATATTTCTCGCTCGAAATTTCCTAGAGCTTCTTGAAAAGGTTGAGACGCAAACCAACACTTATAGCATTGGCCACTACATTGCTCACGGCCAAGTTCTACAAAAATAGGAAATTGCTAAACCGGATTTTTTACAAAATAACTTACGAATAACTCCTCCTTCATGGATGACATGGTAGAAATTTTGCAAAACAATCACAGGTGGCTTGTATTTAAACAACCTTACAAACACGTTGCTTTAAAATCAAGGTGTATGATCTCTGCTATCTCGTCTGTCTGCACACCCCATTGATCATGTACTCACTAGATTGAATGGTGTGTACGTGACTTTAGTCATTTTCTAGGGGTACCATTATGTGTACCTTTGCGAGTAATAGATTTTAGTTTAACAAACTTAGGATAAATAACCCATGAGGTTCAAAACCTAGACTTCTATTATAATTGGTGTATCTCTAATTATGCTCATAACTTTATTCATAATTTTAGATTTGCATATACCGTGAATATCTGCAAATTTACCATGCTACAGTCACGTTCACTTTTCTCTAGGAGAGGCGCAGATACTAAAAACACAATCCATGTATAGATCAATGCCCATATCATCTCTCTTTCTCTGCGTTTCTCGGAAATCAGAAAACACGTGTGTCAAGATAGAATGAGAGTATATAAACAACCGAGTATAACATTTGGAATCGTCTCTGCAAAGTTTTAAATACAACTGATTTCTTAACCTAGGAAAATGTCGTCTTCCGGTACTTCGATGAAAGAGAAGTTATTCGTGAGTTTGTTGATTTTGAAATATAAGGATTTTTTATCCTCATTACAGAACCTCGCTGTCAGCAACATTGTGTCCAACGCAGTAAGCATTGGCCAACGTCTGAACCTTTTCAAGACACTCTCTGATATTTCGAGTGAGAAAAATCCGGTGCTCCCGGAGCAACTAGCTCAGGCAGCTGGATGCAAAGAGAGATATGTCAGGGAATGGTGCAACTGTATGGCTTGTGGGAAGATAATCGAGGTGAATGAGGAGGAGAAGTTTTGGATTAAGGAGGAGAATGTGGACGTAAGAATCTTACTGGTTACCCCTAGGAAACATAGAAAAAAATTCAGGCACTTGGCAACTCTTGCTTCGAATTGGTCATGAATGGAATGATGGCTCCGCTCCTAGAACCTATTGATAATCTTGTTGAGTGTTTCAAAAAAGAGGGACCCTTTGGACTCGAGTACTCTCAATTCTCCAATTTCCAATCTTTCATGGGCACCATGAGCCAAGCGCTCCATGAGAAACATGTCGTTTCTGATATGCTGCCAGCGATTGGAAACGGGATTGTAGAGAAACTGGAAGCTGGAGGAGTTCGTGTCTTGGATGTTGGTTGTGGCAGTGGATTCCACTCTTCACTGCTCGCCGAGCAATACCCGAAGGCTCACTTTGTAGGCCTAGATATTGGAAGTGATGCCATCAAGCAAGCTAAGGAACGCAAAACAAAGGCTGGGGCAGTTTTCAACAATCTGGAGTTCATCGAGTGCGATGCTGGAAAAATGCCTGAGATATGGACGGATTCATTCGATTTGGTGCTTATTTTTGATGCCTGTCATGATCAGTGCCGACCGGATTTGGTAGGATTTTCGGATGAGTCTCGAAAATAAAAATAATTATTTTTTAGTGCGTTCAAGAAATCCACCGAGTCTTGAAACCAAATGGAACTTTCGCAATGGTCGAGGTCTTGGGATCCAGCAATGTTTTCACGGATAAATCTACTATGGGATCATTGGCTGCTATGATGTATGGATGCTCAATGTTCCATTGCCTTCCAGTTGGAAGTAACTGCTCAGAAGCGCTGTGCATGGGAGCCATGTGGGGTCAAAAACGTGCAGTGGATCTTTTGAAGAAGTGTGGATTCCCAGAGGTTCGAGTGGTGGACACACCATATTTCCCAATCAATTTGATGTATTGTGCACAAAAAATTTAATTGAATTTTTTTTATTTGGACTTGTCGTAAATAATAAAGCACTACAAATTCAAAATGCATTGTTTCATCAAACCAATTCAAACCAAATCTCTGATCTTTCAGAAAAGTGGATCAAGTTAATCGAAAAATCATAACTTTGTACAGATCAAACATAAATTTTAAACCGATCATGTATGGTCCCTTTTTCAATATCTCACAATTATCAAAGCATTTCTTTTGAGGTAACTCGTATTTGATTTGGTTGTCGGCGCCTGTTCCTGTTAGAAAACTTGCAAAACAACTGGGACCGATAAGCAGGGTCGTTCCATAAAAATAATAAGTTTGCCGCAACGGGTGCACTGACAAAAATCAAAAATGCAAATGCAACAGGGACTAGAAAATATAAAAATCTTTAAAACAAAAATAGTTTATAGGCTTACAAGACACATCGGTTTCTTCTTCGACAAACAGTTGCACAAATCCGGAGAAGGGGAGTGCGCAGAAGAAAACGACCGTTATCGCACCCTGGAAAATTTTAGGAAATGGCACAAAACAAAATACCGTAAAACCTGTAATAGAAGTGCCCCCTGACTTTCAACTTTGAGCCCATTTATCTCGGTTTCTGATAAAGATGTAAAAAATTTGTCAACTAATAAATTGTTGCTGCTATCATGATAAACAATTTATCAGTTGACACATTTTTGATATCTTTATCAGGAACCGAGATAATTGAGCCCAAAGTTGAAAGTCAGGGGGCACTTCTATTACAGGTTTTACGGTTATTGAACCCACATGATTCCGAATTTTGTCAATAAACTCTTTCCACTCCTTCCTGGCCTCCTTACTTAAACTTGTAGCTTGTCTTTCCAACTCATACAAAATTAAAACATAACCAAGGAAAACTAGAACAAAAATTTGGCCCAGTGAACAACATAGGACCGCCGCAAACCCGATATATTCTTTGAAAGCTGTCAGGATCCATACAAATTCATAGCGGCGCAGAAATTCATGATAGGGCAAGTTGTCGGATATATATACATCTGTATAGTGTTTTGAAAAATTGGATTGAATGATAATCACAAATGCAATGGAAGAATTGAACATTAAAGGAACCAAAATCACGAGGGTTTGAATGAAACAGTTCAGTTTGAAAACTGAATCGTTACGAGAAACCGTTTGAAGTTTTAGAACTAGAATTATGAATAAAATTTCACCTTGAAGAAGAAACAACTTGTAAGCAAGGATCTGCAATGATCTAGCTTGAAGTGGGCGCCCTTCTATTAAAGGTTTAATAGCAACAAAACTCACAACATGAATCAATTTCATTAAATCATTAGAATTTTTCGCCCAACCAATACAATAGAATCCTGGTACTGGTAACAAAACTACTACGTTTAATACAGTACCCAAATAAAATTCGGACATGAATGCACATGAAAGATAAAGAATTGGAGAATATGGGGATATTCTACTTTTGTTGAATTTAAAGATAACATAAGAGCTTACCAATAATAATAAGAAAGATACCAAATTGATGATATTTGTGAGAATACGTTGGAAACCGTCCGCCGCTAAATTCCTAGTGTTATTAGCTGACATGATGCTTGAAAATATGAGAAAAACATACGAAAAATAGAAACCGATTCAGAGAAACAGGTGAATTACATGAACTTATACGTATTGAACTCGGACGATTGAACTCGAACAATAGAGATATTGACGGATTCACTCGGCTTGATGCTTGTTTTCCATGTTTGTCATGATCAGTGTAGACCGGATTTGGTAAGATTCCAGAAGACTTTTGGAACGAAAAATAGACATTTTAGCGCGTCCAAGAAATCCACCGCGTCTTGAAACGAAATGGAACTTATGCAATAGCCGAGTTCTTGGGACCCAGCAATGTTTTCACGGATAAATCTACTATGTGATCATTGGCTGCTATGATGTATGGATGCTCAATGTTCCATTGCCTTCCAGTTGGAAGTAACTGCTCACAAGCTCTGTGCATGGGTGCCATGTGGGGTCAAAAACGTGCAGTTGATCTTTTGAAGAAGTGTGGATTCCCAAAAGTTTGAATGTGAGATGTTTACACACCATACTTCCCAATCAATTTGATGTATTGTGCGGAGAAAATTTAATTGAACAGTATTTTCATTGAACATTTGATAAATCTTATTGTTAAGTATTAATGACAAAATTTTGTTTTTCCTTCAATTTGTCTAGATTAAATAGAAATCCTTATAATTCACCTGTTTCTCTGAATCGGCTTCTATTTTTCGTGTTTTCGATGTCAACTGATACCACTAGGAATTTAGCTGCTGACGATTTCCAACTTATTTTTACAAGTATCATCAATTTGGTATCTTTTTTATTATTATTGACTAGTTCCTATGTCATTCTTGCCTCAAACAAAAAAAGAATATCCCCATATGCTCCAATTCTTTATCTTTCAAGTGCATTTATATCCGGATTTTATTGGGGTACTGTATTGACTACAGTAATTTTGATACCGATTCCAGGATTATATTGCATCGGTTGGGCGAGAAATTCGAATGATTTCATGAAGCTTATTCACATTGTAAGTTGAACTACCGTATAGCCTGTAACAGAAGGGTCCCCACACTCTGAGCTAGTTTTTCTCGGATCCTATACAAGATATAAAAAATGTGGCAACCAATAAAATGTTTGTGATATTATGGTAAACAATTTATTAGTTGGCAAATTTTCGGTATCTCTCACAGGAGCCGAGAAAAATTGGCTCAAAGTTCAAGTACTTTCAGATCGTAGCTTACAAGTTGTTTCTTCTTCAAGGCGAAATTTTATTCATAATTCTAGTTCTAAAACTTCAAACGGTTTCTCGTAACGATTCAGTTTTCAAACTGAACTTTTTCATTCAAACCCTCGTGATTTTGGTTCCTTTAATATTCGATTCTTCCATTGCATTTGTGATTATCATTCAATCCAATTTTTCAAAACACTATATACAGTACTGGCCAAAAAGGTATTCGCAAACGGTTTTTTGAGAGTAACTTTGCTGAAACTTAAGGGATCGATCTGAAAATTTTACTGTGCATGTCGTACACGGTGACGACAAATTGCGTACAAGGAAATTGCATCATTTTCAGAAATTTTTTGTTTTTTTCAATTTTTTCAATTTTTTCGTTTTTTCACTTTTTTCATATTTTTATATTTTTGGATATTATGGTTTCTAAGAATGTTGGTTTTGGCTCCTATGTATTTAAAACTGTTTACAGACATGGCCAGACCCCTCGGAAAAAAAAAACATCTCTCAGGACATCCGTAAAGCCATCGTCATCGGCTTCAGAAGTGGATGTTCCAAGGACCTCTTGGCGCAGCAGTTCAATGTTACTAAACGTGCCATCGAGAAGATCTTGAAGCAGTTTCGGGATGAGGTAATATTCAAAAATAGTATAGTTATGGAAAAAAATGTTTAGGGAGCCTTGGTGGAGCGAAAATCGCCTGGAAGACCGCGTATCACGTCGAAGAACATGGATCGGAACATCGTCCGAGTTTCAAGAGAGGATCCCCAGAGGAGTTCTACGGACATTCAGATGGTCGTGAAGACTCCAAATGAAGTCACACGATCCCTGAGAACCGTCAGAAGACGTCTTCAAGATGCTGGACTCCATGGACGACGGCCAGCTAAGAAACCATCGATCAGCAAGAAGAACAGAATCGCCCGCGTAGCATGGGCCAGAGCTCATCTCCACTGGGGACGTCAGGATTGGGCTAATCACGTGTTCAGCGACGAATCCAAGTTCAATCTGTTCGGTACTGACGGTATCAAGTGGATTCGCCGTCCGGTTGGATGTCGGTTCGATCCCAGCTACCAGCTCCAAACCGTCAAGCATGGAGGTGGATCGGTGATGGTCTGGGGCTGCTTCTCTGGGACTTCAATCGGCCCGCTGAGAAGAATTACAAGCATCATGGATCGCTTTGTGTATGAAGACATCTTGGAGAACACAATGAGACCCTGGGCAAGGTCTACTGTGGGCCGGGCGTTCGTTTTCCAACAGGATAACGACCCGAAGCACACCTCGAAGCACATCAAGGAGTGGTTCCGACGCCGCCACGTGGATTTCTGGACTGGCCAAGTCAATCTCCGGACTTGAATCCGATCGAACACCTCTGGGAGCATGTCGAGAGACAGCTTAGAGGGGTTCGTGCCTCGAATGCCAACCAGAAGTTCGACCAACTCCAAGATGTCTGGCAGGCCATCCCGATGTCTGTCATCGACACCCTTCTCGACTCGATGCCAAGAAGATGTCAAACGGTAATCGACGCCAAAGGCTTCCCAACGAAGTACTAAAGCTATTTTATTCATTTTCTATTATTATTTTTCGTTTACCGGTCTATCCTAGATCTCAGAAGTCAAAGTTCCATTTACCGGTTTTTTGCAATTTTCATGAATTTTTCGATTTTTTTTCAATTTTTTGAAATTTTGACTATTCTTGTTGTTGAATCAGTTTCTTTTACCGTTTTAAACTTTGTCTTAAAATATCAGATCGATCCCTTAAGTTTCAGAAAAGTTATGCTCGAAAAACTATTTGCGAATACCTTTTTGGCCAGTACTGTAGATGTATATATATCCGACAACTTGCCCTATCATGAATTTCTGCGCCGCTATGAATTTGTATGGATCATGACAACTTTCAAAGAATATATCGGGTTTGCGGCGGTCCTATGTTGTTCACTGGGCCAAATTTTTGTTTTAGTTTTCCTTGGTTATGTTTTAATTTTGTATGAGTTGGAAAGACAAGCTACAAGTTTAAGTAAGGAGGCCAGGAAGGAGTGGAAAGAGTTTATTGACGAAATTCGGAATCATGTGCGTTCAATATTTTGTGTCTGGTACAGTTTTACAATTCTTCCAGGGTACAATAATCGTCATTTTTTTCTGCACAATTTCCTTGTCCTGTTTTGTCCAATTTTTTGTCAAAGAAGAAACGGATGTGTCTTGTAAGCTTGACAACTTTTTTTGGTTCAAAAATTTATATTTTTCAGTCCCTGTTGCATTCGCATTTTTGATTTTTGTCAGTGCACCGATTGCGGCAAACGTATTATTTCTGTGGAACGACCCTACTTATCGGTCAAAACTATTTGGCAAATTTTTTATTAAAAACAGGCGTCAACCGACAGATATAGTCCGAGTTGCATCGAGAGAAATGTTTTGATAATTTTTGGATTTTGAGACAACTATCTTTAAGCCGAAATAAAAACTATAAAACCAATTTAAAAATTTTTCACGTCTTTGATTCAATTTATCTCGGTTCCTGGGAAAGATATCAAAAGGGACCAACAGAAAAAATGTTTGCGATAATATGATAAACAATTTATCAGTATACAACTTTTTCATATCTTTGACGGGAACGGAGGTAAATCGGGCCTATCATCTGTCATTATCCAAGCATGCGACTACGTAGCTCAGACGGTAGTACAGTACTTTGTTCGCAAGTTCTCAAAAAGCTTCAATAAATTAATAATAATAATTTATTGATTCAGGACTATCAATCAATATTGTTACAAATTAAACAAATAAGTTAGAAATTATGTTCGTCTAAGAAAAGGAAAGAAGATGAATTAACATGACTTAAATTAGTTTCAAAAGAGATGGATGAAAACAAGGGTGGGAAAACGGTTTTTGGAAGCGAGTTCCAGCAGGATATAATACGGAGAATGAGAAATTGAACAAAAAGTTTTGAAGCATTCTGCTCAATTTCTTAAATTAAAAATACAATTTCTTAAATCTTCCTTATAAATAAAACGCTAGAGGCGTCTGTCAGTCCTCGTGTCAGTCTGTCAACTTTTGAAAAGCTTGAAAGTTAAACATAAATTTACGTGACCCTTTAAGAATAATTGAATAGCGGAGTCACGCACCAGTATAAAACTAAGTTGCATCGCGCCGAAGGCGCACCAGCTTGCTGGTAAAAATTTATTTCTTAAATTAAAAATAAATAAAAGACGTTGTTATTTTAGTGCAAATTAATATTAAAAGGGACCGACACATTGAAATATTGAGAAAATATTACACTTTTTAGGGAAATGACGCAGGTGGTAGGTTGATTTCTCCTCTGAAATTTTCAATGTGCATCTGCGGTCATTTCATGTGACACAATTGAAATTTGTGGTTTTCCTAATATTCGACGAATGAAATCTGAAATTTTCTCTTCTGGTTTTTTTCCAGTTGTTATTGAACTCGCTAGAAATTGCCATCCGATAATTGTCAATGAACACGATAGTGGGAATTGGGTCGATTGCTGGATAGACGGTGTATAAAAATGTGATAAGCCTACTGGCCCATTCGATATCGATTTTGAAAAATGGGAATGTGAGGAAGCATCCAATTGGGACGAAGAGAAAAATCATTGGGATCACTGTCTGGAATTATGGAAATGCTCAAGAATGTTCGGCTTAATGAAAAAAACCTGTGCCACCAACGCTTTGTGCAATTGAAGTTGAAGTTTCTTACTGTATTCACTTTCTCCTTGTTTGAGAAGTTCCTTGATTTTCCCGTAGCTTTTTCTCCCAAAATAAATTATAGTGACTAAAGGGATCGCCTGAAAATTCAAAAGGGTTTCAAAATGATCTGCCCCAGTCTCACAAATATCTGATTGAGCCCAAGAGCTCCGATCATATCTTTCATGCTCAGATATTGATTCCCATATGGGTCAGTTCTCCAGTATAAACCTCCTGTGTAGCTAGTCTTATCGATATCAAAATCGTACTTCTCTTTTACGCGAGATCTGAAAATTGCTTTGAATTTTGGAAAACTTGTAGATTGACTACCTCAAATACTCTGTCTTTTCTGAATCCGGTCTTAAGAAGATCCAATTATTTATCACCCAACCGGCGCCGGCTAAAATCGGAATGAAAATCCAGAAAATCAGTTTTTTACCATGGAAAAAACGAAGACGACCTTCTCTGAAAATTGGAGGGGACATGAAACTATTGTTTTTTTCAAAATATTGTTCATATAAGCCCTTCGAGAAGTTGTGGGTCCACCGTTCGTAGCTGGTAGCGTAACTGGTAGCGTAGCTGGTAACGTAGCTGGTAGCGTAGCTGGTAGTGTGGCTGGTAGTGTAGCTGGTAGCGTAGCTGGTAGCGTAGCTGGTAGCGTAGCTGGCAGTGTGGCTTGTAGCAGCTTTTCCAACGGTGGGCCCACAAGTTTAACTCCCCGAGAGGCTTATTCTATAAACAAAATTTAATGTTTGCATACCTTTGTAATGCGAAAAATCGATAGACAAAATTGATAGCGATCGAATAAATTGTTAGGCTATAACATCCGCACAATAATGCTGTAAACCTTTTTTTTCTGTCACATTCTCAAAGAAAAATGTTAACGTTTTACCAACTAACAAAACTCCGATAATTGGGTAATCCTCAAAAACACTGTTCCGTAAGTCCATTATCATTACGTACGCCGCACCATAACTATGCATATACTGAAAACCTTCAATTCCAACAGAGCGCGCTTTCCATACTCACCGGCTGAACAATAAAATCCAGAACTGCATAAAGCATGGAAATCAGAGAGAAATAAATCATGAGAAATTTATAATTACCAAGTTTGTGTGGTGAATGTGTAAGCACCAAGAATATCGATAGACAGTTTGTGGCAAGAGAAAATAGTACAGTTATAAGTTGAATATATGATCTCATTTGTTTCTTTTTTGAATGAGCGAGATCGAATTTCTGATTCTTTACTTTTGTTTTCGTATGTTAAAGTATATGTCCCAAGAGGTAAAGATAATTATATGTTATTCGGTTCCGCGTCTCATGACTTCTTCTTCTTCTTTGAAAAACAATGTGATTTTCGAAATATAAACTCTTCAAACTACATCCGTTGTTAATTCATAAGAGACCACAGAAGCTACCTGATTCTTTCTGAGTAAGCGACGAATCCAATCTACAAACAAATAGGGCATTATTAGAGAATCAAAAAATCACATTTTTGGGGAACTCACTGTGAACAGCTAACCGATACTCCTCGATAAATATCATATTAGGAATTGGGTCCACCGCTGGATAAAACGCGTAAAGAAATGTGATCGGGAGACTAGCCCATTCGATATCAATACCAATCAAAGGGGATATAAGAAATATTCCAATTGGGAAGAAAAGGAATGTCATTGGGATCAGTGTCTGGAATTAGTTTTTTGGTTCATAGATAAAACGATGAATGTATAACGTATAACGTATAACACCGACCACGACCAGTGTTCACAGTTTGCATCAGTGATGGGAGGAACTTCCGTTTCCGTTTCCGTTTTCCGTTTTCCGCTCGGTTTTTAGAGATTTATTTTGCGGAAAAAAAGTTTACGATTCCGTTTCTTTTTCCGTTTTTCGTAAAACTGAAATTCTATTTCCGTTTCCGTTTTTTCTTCCGTTTTCCGTTTTCCGCCCAAGTTTTGAAGATTTTTTTCCGTTTCCGTCTCCGCGGAAAAAAAATTAACGGTTCCGTTTCCGTTTTCTGTAAAAAAAAATTTACTCGTTTTTTTCCGTTTCCGTTTTCCTCGGAAAAAATTCCATTTCCGTTTCCATCTTCTGTATTTTGGAAAAATGCGTTTCCTCCCATCACTGGTCTGCATACAGTAACTCTAACAACATTTCAAAAATCCGGAAAATCTCTCTTCCTTCTTTTTTTTGAGAAAAAAAAACTACCTGTGCAACCAGCGCTTTGTACAATTGAATTTGAAGTCGTTTACTGTATTCACTTTCTCCTTGTTTTAGAATTTCCTTTATTTTCCAATAGCTTTTGATCCCGAAGTAGACTATAGTGACAAATGGGATCGTCTGAAAATTCGGTTTAAAACTGTTCGATGTTTTCTGCTGGATTGTTACCATCATATGATAAAGCCCCAAAGCCCCTATCATGTCTTTCCAACTCAAGATTTGGTTCCCGTTCTGATCTATTCTCCAGTACAGGCATGCTGTGTAGCTGGTACGATCAATATCCAACTCATATTTTTCTCGGGTCCGGTTCCTGGAATTTTGATCTTTCTTTGTGGCCCACAATTGTGAATTTTCCTCAACTATACCTCATATAATCGTTTAGTTCTGGATTGGGACTCAACCAAATCGAGTTGTTGCTGACCCAAAGAACTGCAGACACAATTGGAATAAAAATCCAGGTTAACAGACGTTTTCCAGAAAAATATCGGAGTCGGCCTTCTCTTTCAAGTGCGAAAAATCGATAAATAAAATTAATGGCAATTGCGTATATCGTTGAGCAAAAACTACCACGCAATGCCGCTGGAAAAAAAAACAATTATTTTGTACTAATTCTAATAACTTTAAAAAAAACTTACCAACTAGTAAAAAAGGTATTATTCGATATTCTTCAAATATGGTCCCTCTCAAATCCATGTACATTCCGAAAGCTGCACCATAACTGTGAATATACTGAAATGCAACGTTATATGTTTGTATTTTGAGCTCATTAATCTCAATTCCTGAAAGAAATTTTCAAAATCTACAACCTATACTTATCACAATATCACCAATGTTTTATCAATTTACAGATTTTTGGTATCTCTCATAGGAACCGAGACAATTGAGTCTAATGTGAAGTTCTATTATTAGAGCGCATTTGCATTTCTTACTGGTTGTACTAAATAATCCAGAATCGCATAAACCATGGACATTATCGAAAAATAGATCATTAGGACTTTATAATTGCCAATTTTACTTGGTGAATGGTTAACAACCAAATAAATGGAAACAAAGTTCGTAAGAAGCGAAAAAATAACTGTAGCCAGCTGAATGACCGATTTTATTTTCAAAAACAAAGTCATTTTTAATGTATCAAAAGGATACCGGCTTTAGTCGTTTACTTCACAAATATCCAAACTTAATTATACGCTGGAACAGACGCCAGATCTCTGTAATTCCCGGTTTTCATACCTAGCTTCTTAAAAATTGTTACCTAAGGGACTTTTCGTCTAGACAAAACGATCAAAACTACGAAAATTCATTGAAAAATAGCAATTACATATATTTATCACCAGGTGACAACAAAAATGAGGGAACTGGAAAAGCACTGATTTCGTTAAGCCTTGGCGTAAGTTCTCCACCAGTGGTAACAACAATTTGAGGGATTCGAAACGATTCGGGATTATCTGAAATTGAAAAATTAGCATTTTAAATTTTTTGCGTTTTCCAACTTACAAAATGAACTCACAAGGGATTTGAGCGTTCATACTGGCTGTATCCCATGGTCGATTAATCATCTTTTTGAAATTCTTATCCACTTCCTCGGGTTTCATATAAATTGCATATTTTGATTGTTTAACCGTATGATAATAGTATTTCAAAATAAAAATGAAAGATAGTAAGACAAGAAATGTCACTAGGACGAAAAGAAGAATAATAAGTGCGAAGAGAAGGTCAGGCATAATACTGGAGTGAAAGTTTTCCAAGAAGATGTCCTCTGAAGTTTGGAAAGAGTGCTTCAAGAAAACATGCATGTTTTTGGTTTAAATTTTTTATTGCTATGAGAAATATGTTAACAACGAACGAAGAGGCTAATCCAGAGAGAGGAGAAAGCCGATAGTAAGGATTTAGAATTTTTTGAAAAAAAATAGCGGGATGTAGTCTTTAGACACCCACTAAATGCTTAAGATAATCTTGCTTACATTGATGTCATGTTGAAAAAAGATTTTTGGAAAAAATGACTAATTTTTTCTCATTAAAACGTTTGATATTTGCCTAGTGTTGTCCCAGTGGGAGTTGATCAACTTTGAGCGCGTATATCTCATTCCCTGTAGAAGATATCGAAAAATTATCAACTGAATAAATGTGTATTATAATGTTAGCGACATGTATTTTGTTGACCACTTTTTGATATCTTTGCCATAAACCAAGATAAATAGAGTCAAAGTTGAAAGACCCTTTTATTACTGGTTGTTACCATACCGTAGCTTCGATTGGTTTTATCTTGGTATTTGATACTGGCATCAAAAAATGACCAATTGAGTTTTTATTATAATATTCAAAAAATTTAGTCAGTTGACCGCGTTTTGATAACTTTCAAAGGAGCCGATTCACTCAATGTTAAGCGACTCTTTTATTACCGATTGTACGATACGTTCTGCACCGAAGACATACTGCCAACTTTGAGCTCGTATATCTGATTTCCAGTAGAAGGTATCAAAAAGTAGTCAACTGACAAAATGTTTATCTTAATATCAACAATATTTTACCAGTTGACCACTTTTTCAAAATCTCTACCTGGAACCGAGATAAGTTAGCTCAAAGTCGCCTGTCATTGAGCCGTTCTATTAGATTTACGATAGATCCTCATTTATGGGTGCTATTTAATTGTTCTGGATCTTCAAATTAAAAACCATTAAATAAATAAATTCATTATAGAAATAATTGTTCAACACAAACAAAATAAAAATAACAAGATCATAACAATTAGCCTTAGCTTTAACAATTTCTTAACAAGTAAAACAATTCTCAACTAAATCATTCAGCAAAATTATGACATCAACGCATAGGTGTTCGAATATACAGATAATGTGGTCAACACCACAAGTTGCATCATGCCCTATATAAATTCCACGTGGATTTTTTTGTTTCATTAACCCTTGTCCGTTGTTCTCCCACACCCGGTCACATGATGCTGGGGTTTAGACCACCGCGACCGGTTTTCTTCTTTCTCGGCACAAGAGAGAAAAGTCAAAAAATCAGACGAATCAGTAGTAGACTTGACGATTTCCGATGTACTCGACGCGTGTGGAATACGGCATTGGCGGCGCGGTGATTCCCCCGGTGACACGTTCGGTGGTTGGTTTTGGATCGGCTGAAAGAGTTGAACATTGAAGTTTTAAACTGTATAAGTACCGTATAACTTACATTCATTCAAATAGAATCGGAAGTTTTGAACAAGACTGGAGAAGATGAGGTAGAGTTCTGTGCGAGCGAGTTTCTCTCCGAGGCAGGCTCTTGGTCCCATTCCAAATGGACGGAATTCCTCCATAGGTGAGTATTCTCCGTATTGGTCCAAGAAGCGTTCTGGTTTGAACTCTTCTGGATTCTTGAAGACGGTTGGGTCGCAGAGAAGAGCTCCGAGAGCTGGAACAATTTCCGTGTTAGCTGGGATCTTGTATCCCCCGATTTGACAGTCTTCGAAAGATCTGAAAAATGAAGATTAGTGAATCGCAATTTAACTTGGACAACTCACTTGTGAGGAATAGCCCATGGGAGAACATTTGCCAAGCGTTGAATCTCGGAGAGTGTCGCTCTAACATACGGAGTTAGATGCATTTTGCTGGTTTCTGGGGCGTCGTTTCCGAAGGCAGAAATTATTTCTTGATGACACTTGGCTTGAACTTCAGGATTCTGGAGCAGGTAGATCAGTCCCCATCTCAAAGTCGTCGTAGTTGTCTCCATACCGCCAGTCCACATATCTCCACAGTTGAGGATGATTGAGAGGTCCTTGAATTCTTCTGGTCTCGTCTCTTGAAGATCAAGCATATGGCTCATGAAGTCGTCCTGGTGTCTGTTGACCTTGTGCTCATTCAGAATATCTCGGAACCATTGCTGAAGCTTGAATCCGCTGTTTTTGTATGCCATCCAACTGGAAGGAAGCCATTGGAGCAGGAAGCGAGAAATTGGGAAACTGTTTACAAAAAAGACTCCAAATGTCATGAGCTCTTTGACGACTGCGTTGATGTTACTGAGTTGTGTCTGAAACTCGGCGTCCTGGTACTCATAGTTTCTTCCAATGGTCATTTGTTGGATGATGTTAGCAATAGCTCCAGAGATTGGATCCTTGATATCGCTCAAGCCTTTTGACTCAGCTTGTTTGATGAGCGCTGCCTCTAAGCTGGCTGTGTGGTGGAGTACCAAATTGTCCATACGCTTTCCAGGCCAATTTCTCAGGAACTTCTGAGTCTCTTGGCGCATGTTCTTTGACTTTTGGCCCGACGAAAGGATAACACCATCCCCATGGTTACGATCACCAGTGAACAAGACAAAGGATTCAGAGTTGGAGCGCCCGCTGGTTTTTTGCCCATTATGAATCAATGCTTCATGGATGGAGTCGTAGTCCGCAAGAATGACCGTTGGTTGAGACAAGTGGAGTGTGAAAACTGGTCCGTAAATTGCTCTGTACTCCAAAAATGTCTTTTCCGGGGCACGAGTGTTCACGGATACGCCATTCCCGAAGATTGCCATAGGTGGTGGACCTGGTGGGTATTCCGTGGCATAGTATCTATGTTGTCTAACGAAATATGCCAAATGAAGTGCAATGGCAGCGAAGAAGCAGAGAGGAGAAATTGAAATGACAGGAATCAACATAAGCATATAATAAAATGAGATTATGGCCAGATGGGAGATTGCAAAGTAGCACCAATCCCTGATTTGAATTTCAGTTGATCTGCTGATCCTCATCTGAAACATATCCATTAGTTTGAAGGTCTTATACCATCTATCAACTCACCCAACACTTTGTTGTTCCATAAACAAACTTGAGAATGGACATTAGTTCCATGGGAAAATGAAGAAGATACATCTTTCTTTTTTTTATTGCCGAACGAAAGTAATTAATCGGATACGTTTTTTTTTTCACTCTCCGCTGCCGTTTATAAACAAGGTCGCAGTGGGCGGTGCTAATGTTTTGTTGCATCTTTTTTCTCTCAACCGCGCAGACTAAAATTGTTGCACTATTTTTGGGGTCGAGGAGTCGACCCTTACCCTCTGTGACCCTATCCCGCAACTTCTCGAGTTCTGTTGACCCATTTATCATGTACTTCTGCGATAGAAATAGTACAGAACGCGTTTCACATGTAGGTTATCAGAACGGTTATCAGGAGAAGTTGCTTCTTGTTAAACGGATGCTGTGTAACTTTTGTGTGGTCTTGTGAAAAACGCTTTTTTCAGATACTGAGCTCAATTGTGCAATTTTTGGAGGAGATCATTCTGAGGAGGTCTGGAATTCTTGGCTCTTGACAGAATCCTCATATTGGGTCTGAAAAGGTTTTTGAAAAAAGATGCTCATCGGGAAAAATTGCTTGAATTGGTGGTGTAGGCTAACCGGAAATGCTTTAGTATGCGCACTTTGAGCTCAATTATCTCAGTTCCTACGAAAGATACCAGAAAGCTGTCATCTGATAAAAGTATTGGTAATCTGATGATAAACGTTTTATCAGTTAACAAAGTTTTGATATGTCTCATTGGAGCTGATATAATTAAGTCTTCTTCAATTGACTAATCCATTTTGTTCAGATGTTTGAAAAATAGTATTATACATGAGGCTTAGTGTGGGCTTCTATTAGAATATCTACATCAATCGTCTAATAGTATTCCTAGGTTTCATTTCCAGGATGAATCTTCAATTGACTAGTCCATTTCTCCGTTTCAGTCCCAAATGGGAAGAAGACGTTCTGTTTTTCGAGTTCCCCGTACCTGAAATCCCCAAGTGACACATTTTGGATCCAAAATACCTCCCCTATCAATGTTGCAGCATTTTGTACTTTCCAACGTTCAAGAAGTTTCACTTGTTTGTGTTGTTATAATTCACTTTTAACGTAAACAACTTTTATTGAATAACAAAAAAGGGTCTGTGTCGCTTGGCGTCGCTGTCTACATCGTCCCGCACAGAAGACGCATTCTCAAGGCAGCCAGTCGTTGATGCGTACACGATATGAGAGATAGATACCTACATGAAATTTTCTTTTCAATTTTTCGACGACTACAAACTCCGGTGTGATTCGTATCTTTTTTTTCGAGATGTGAGGAGAATCTTTGTTCTTTCGTGGGGCTCTTATCGGTACTGTAATCTTCTGAGCAACGCAGTTCAGAAGGTGCCCAAGGTCATATAAGGTTCTGGTAGTTCTGATGTCTCCGATAGTGGTGCTGATGGTAGTGCTGATGTCTCCGATAGTGGTGCTGATGGTAGTGCTGATGTCTCGCTCTTGAAGCAGGAAGCTACAGATCCTCGCTCTGAATTAAAGTTGAATTTAGTCAACTATCTTTCCGCGCTACGACGCCTACACGTCTTGGCGCTGATTTTTTCGCTTATCTGGTCTAGACATCCGCCTAATTGGCATGTAGATCGCAACGACACAAATCACCGTTTCCGTGACTTGTGTGGTATCAAAAGTCGAATTTTTGCAGGCAGGACAAGGTTATATTGGTTTGGATGAAATCTTTAATGCATCCGTTCGATATTGCAAAAGTTAATTTTTCCGAGGTTGTTCAATAATCGGACTGACGTCGGCAGCATTTTGGTCAGGGTACTTATCGGATAGGTCTATAGAACAGACTGTTTGGTCCAGGACAAACTACCAACAGTCGGATTCACGGAAAACCGCGATTCTACAAAAGTTCATGTCAGTTTGTGGTATCTGTGCTAGATTTGCACAGTAATATGAACTTAGAATTCAGACAAGTCAGGCATTCGCATCACGTAACTTCACGTCACTCGTTCCAAAATCTTAAGACACGACGGAGGTCTCTCTTTTTGATGCGATTGAATCTTCTCCCCCCTGCCCGAATGATCGCATGTCTTGCGTCTTTTTTTGCGACCGCCGGGGGATAGACATGGTTGTTTTTCAATAAAAAAGTTGTTTACGTTTTGAAAGTGATTTTTAAAAAAGCACTTGAACCAAACTACACTCGAGGAATAGTGCAAAAAGTTCACAATGGGGGTGCTGGAACTAAAAAAGTGGGAATAGGTTTTCGAATACAGGGAATTTGAAAATTATGTTGTTTTTAGCACATTCGAAACTTCGATATCAAAAACTTGTAAACTGATAAAATGTTGATGATATGTATTATGATAAACATTTGGTCAGCTGACACCTTTTTAATATCTCTGACGGAAATCGAGATAATTGAGCTTAAAGTAGACGGATTGGATGGGCTTCTAATAATGGAAATAAGGTAAACCATGAATGATGTGGCATATTTGTAAGAGCATAGAATCAAGAACAGAAGGTTTTATTATTTAAAGTATACAGATTCTTATCGGGAGTACTGTATGCAGACCAGTCATCAGAAAATAGGACAAAATAATTCTAACACATCTGAATGTACTTTTGCAGGTGTTTCGTTTATATAGTGCAATTTTTCTTTGAAGGCCGCCTGTGTCTGGTGGAGAAAGGGGGCGGAGTCACAAAGTGCGTGATATCATATTCAGTGTACTTTCGGTGATCATTTGTTCTTTAAGAAGCTTGCATTGCCTTCTCGTTTTCTGTAGAAGTACCATTGTCAAATTTATCACATTTGGTGAGCCACAATTTGATGAACTACATATCAGTACGAACATATTATCCAAAAGTTCGGTTTAGATTGTCCAAAAGATGTTCAAAAGTTCAGCTTAGTTCAGTTTAAATGAAGTACCATTGTCAAAAATACTGAATTCAATAGACCAAAATTTGATAACTTTCTGGTCAATGGTTAGGTGATAAGGTTCACTTTCAATGAACGCTTTTAATATGTTTGGACCCTATCTTTAAGAATATTTTGCCCTTTCGGAACGGTTCAATGATCGAAGTTTTCCTTTTCCGTTGCCGACACACCGTGTTTTATGTCTGAATACGAATTTTCCATGTCTACCGGTCTTTTTACCAAATGTTCAGTCATCATTGTCTTGTTCGAGAAACTTCTCTCCACCGGACATGTCGAATCGCCTTTACCTTAGTTCACAGAACGGCTAGAACACACGTATCGGAAAGATAAATTCGGAAAAGAGAAGACGTCGCGTTTGGCATGCAGGCATCGGTAATATAGGAGAGACCCTGATCAGCAAAAAATCGGTTCGCATGATCATCTCATCAATCATTCTGTCGTCTGGCGGATCATGTCTAGAAGAAACGGTCGAAGTGAACTGGTGAACAGTTTTTAGCGCGCTTTTCAGGTACCGTGAAGCGGTCAGCTCGGTATATTGATTTTGCATTAGAGCGTATTTTCATGCCGTTCCGAAAATGTCAAAGTGCAGGATCTAGAAAAAGTTCGGGAGGAGGCTTGTGGTAGGTACGAGAGTGGAACGATGTCCTAGATAGGCTTGCTCTATATCCGTCCGAATGATTAACATTTTAAAAGGCACTATTCACTCTTCTACCGTATCTTGCCTACTTGTGAAAGAAATTGCTGACTCATGGGCCGGACCGGGCCGTCCCGGCCCAGCCTGGCCATCCACATGTATGGTATCCTGTAATAAGCTAACTACATTAGAACCACACGGCAGACATTCTCATAAGACGGTTTGATCTTCTGAACAACAAAGGTTAGTTTTATTCATGTGACTGATTTTTTTTTGAGAATATTCGCGACAGTGGAACGATTGATTCAATTGCATCTTCTCTCTCCCATGTCTACCTACAGCGATGCGTCTTTTTTTTGCGACTGCTAGCGCGGGGCGATGCGAGGGACAGACATGATTTGGTTTCCCAATAAAAGTTGTTTACGAAAAGCGAATTATAATAAAAAACACAAGTGAAACTTGAACTACACTCGAGGAATAGTTCAAAATGTTCACACTACGATAGACAAGTACTTTTGCGCCCAAAATATGGGTCAATGGGATTTCGAACACGGGGAATCTGAAAATGATGATGATTAAGATTGGAAGAATTTGTATACCAGAATGTGCTAGAAAAACTTGAAGACAATTCGATTTTACATATTTGAGTGGCAAGTTGTAGCTATCAGTGATAGGAGGAATTTCCGTTTCCGTTTTCCGTTTTCCGCTCGGTTTTTAGAGATTTTTTCCGTTTCCGTTTCCGTTTTCCGTTTTCCGCTCGGGTTTTAGAGATTTTTTATGTTTCCGTTTCCGCGGAAAAAATTTACGCTTCCGTTTCCTTTTCCGTTTTCCGTAAAACTAAAATTCTATTTCCGTTCCCGTTTTCCGAAAAAATCGGCAATTTTTTTTCAACGGAAACAGGAAAAAATGTAAAACACGAAGAAAACTTTGGTTTGAAAAAAACATGGAAAGTGATGCAAAAAATAAAGTCTTCAAACGTTAAAAAGTGTTTATTTTCATGTTTGAGGGGAAAAAATTCTGAAAAATAGACGAAAAATAGAAATTTCCGTTTCCGTTCTATTTTTCCGTTAACCGTTTTCCGCACGGTTTTTGAAGATTTTTTTCCGTTTCCGTTTTCCGTATTTTGGAAAAGTGCGTTTCCTGCCATCACTGGTAGCTATTAACCTTGATTTAGCAGCCTGACTATTGCACAGCCTGTTGTTTCAGACTCTGCATTCAGAATTCAATTTTAAATGCAATCAAAATACCATGAAACCTGCAATAGAATGGCTCCCTAACTTTCAACTTTGAGCCAATTTTACTCACTTACTGTCAAAAATATCAAAAACTTGTAAACTGATACAATGTTCATCATAACGTAGCCAATATCTTATCCCGATGTGTTGGCATATTTTTGATATCCTGCATAGAAGCTGAAATGACTGAGCTCAAACTTGAAAATGTGAGCTCCCTTCTATTACAGATTTTACGGTAGGTTTCATTTATTGAATCTCGTCGAATTCTACATTATAATTTTAAATTTTTTCTAAAATTGAGTATCGGAACTGAGTTATGTACCGTTTCCTAGTCGTTTGCGGCCATTCCCCAAAAAAGTAATATACCAACTCCGACATGTTTCATTATAATGATTTGATGATCACATATTCATTAAGTGGAACTGATGTTTGATAAAACATCGATGCCTACGAATCAGATCATATGAGCTGGTGTCCCTGAACACATTTTGCCGATCTCTTTTCCTCCGTCCGCAATCCTTGAAGAGGTTGCTACCAAATTAGCCTGGATCATGTGGGCTAGGCTGATCTGGCTAGGATGAAAAACCAAGTCTGGCTCAAGCTTATCTATTCATCCACCGGATTTACTAGTCAATATTCTTCAGCGTATATCGTGAAACCCGTTACAAAAGGATCTCACACTGTCAAGATTGGGATTGTGTTTAGCTTCTGAGCAAGATATCGAAAATGTGCCAATTGACAAAACACTTCTGATATTATTATAAACAATTTATCAGTTGAGAACTTTTTCATATTTTTCAAATGAACCGAGATAAATTGGCTCATATCTAAAAGGGGACTTTTCCATTACAGGTTTTACAGCAGCTATGCATCCACCAGATTCACCAGTATTTACCCTTTTTTTCATATTGTTCGCGACTGATTTTTCTCTATTAATCACCGTAGTTTGTGTCGACATTCGAATCAAAAACGCTTAGTCACAATATAGTCCCTCGTTCGAGAAACTTCTTCTCAGCGCCCGCCCGACGATCTTTTCCGTTAGACAGACCACCGAAGAGATCTTATCGCTCCGCGATAAATCAGCGCATTGGGGTTCATAGAACGGCTAGAACACACATATTCGGATAAGCAGACGACACGTTTGCCGTGCAGCCGAAGGTAACCTAAGAAGACCCGTCGCAGATTTGAAACACCAAATTTGTATGTATACGGTATGTCACATCAATCAAACCGAGTTTGTCTGAAGAGGTTTAAGTGAGAAGTGGATTGCTGAACTTTTTTTTGCGGAAAAGTACGAGGTGGTCTGTAAAGAAAGTTCAAGAGAAAAGCTGTGGCTGGTACAATGTCCTAAATTGGGTTGCACTGTGATAGTTCAAATTTGAAGGATTGCTGGGGGCGCCACGGATGTCGTCTTGGGGAAAGTATTAACTGTTGTCCATCTACCGTTACCGAAAGTCTTCTTTGTAGAGTTTTGTAGAGAAGTGGGAATTTCGAAAACCAGATGGAACGAAATTCTTATTTGAATTTTTATTACAGTAACCGAAAATATTTTATTGCATACTTGTAAAGTTTCGTTGAGAATTTTAGCGGGCCGGGCCGATGAAGTGCCGGCCCGGCCGCTGTTTGTACAGAAGCTGATTTTTTTAAAGTTTTTTTTCAAAAATTTATTGAAAATTTCTAAATTTTTTGACTACTGTCTACTTTAATAACTTTTAAAAATTACGAACCTTTTTTTTATTCAAAAAAATGTCCCCAATTTTTCATTGGAAATTTTTTCACTGAGAAAGGGCGGGCCGGGCCGGGAAAATTGCCGCTATGGCCCGGGCCGGCCCGTTGCACGTATGATAAATATAGACATATTCAAACTATACTCAACGCTTGACTATACTATATTTCCAGTAGACTTCTTCCGATATCTTGCGATATCTTCCGACAAATTTCACATTCCGAAGTCTGTCAGCCAATAATACATTTGAGGGCGGTCTAACATCTACAGTAGCCCGCACGGAATGTTTCATCGTTGACATTTTGTGTCGTGTCGACTTGTTTCAAAATTTCGGAATGTTTTTGTTTTGGGAATTTCAATTTGTTTTATTTTAGAATTTAGCAATAAAATGTCATAAGACCTATAATAGAATGACCCCCGAACTGTCAACTATGAGCGTATGTATCTCATTTTTTGTAAAAGGTATCAAAAAGTTGCCAACTGATAAATGGTTTCAAAATGGTTAACAGCACACATATTTTGTCAATTGATCACATTTTATACCTTTAAAAAGGACCGAGATAAATTCGCTCATAGTTGGAAAATAGGGGGGGGGGGGTGTCATTCTATTAGAGAGTTTACGGTATACATATTAAAATTATAATCCCGAAAATTGAATCCAATTTATTCTTGTTTCTGAAAAAAATCGTCGTTTAAAAATCCTCATATTTGTTCTATTATAAAACTCACCATAAAAAAAAATATCGTTCCTTGGGAACTTCCAAATGGTCCACCGAAAATCCTCGAAGTTGGCTCTTTTTTCGTTTTACTTCCATTTCTTCAGGTCGCAAATAAATTGAATAAGATTGCAGTTTCATAGAATCATAGCGGTATTTGAAACTATAGAAAAGTGCAAAAAGTATAATAGAGCAAATGAGGCCAAACATTGCACCGGCAAAAATTACCACCGGGTCGACATTGTGGAACATTTTTCTGGATTTGAAAAATGAAATAGGTATTTTGAATTTTCTAGAAAAAAAAATCAAAAATATGATGTGTGGTAGGCGAAAGAAAACAACAGGGGATTTTCTTGTTAATCGCTGACTATGTGGCTTTTCAAGGAAACCCTTTCATGGAATTAAATATATATTTCTCAAAATTTCGTTTTTATAAGCCCACGAGCCGTTGAACTTGTGGGCCCACAGTTGGAGGTGTCGCTACCAGCTGAGCTACTCTACTTTGACCTCAGTTATCTAGTTTCCTAAGAGAGCTATCAAAAATCAGTCAACTGTTGGAATGTTTGTTATAATATCAGCAATATTTTATCAGTTTACAAAGTTTTGACATCTTTTACAGAAACAGAGATAATTGATCTCAAAGCTTAAGTACTTTTTGGAGAGTTAATTTAAAAGAATATCAGCCTTATAAAAATAAAATTTTTATTTTAGAAATTAATTATTTTATGAAGAATTTCAAACATAAAAAAATCAATTACACAGTTGACAATATCTCTGGAACTTTTAATTTGTTACTTTGAAAGGCATTTTTCGTATGGATTGGTGCCTTCTCATCCAATTCTTCAGCTCTCATATAGAAGGACCATGCCTGAATATTGAACACGTCGTAATGATTTTTGCAGCTGTACATAGCTGCGAAAATTATAATGAAACAGATTGAGCCAAAAATAAGGATGGCGAGAGGAACCATCGGGTTGTTCAAATCGATCATAGCCGAGTAGCTCAGAATTTTCTAGAATTGATAAAAAGAAAAAACGAAAAATATGGCAGTCGTGGTAATTGGGTGTTTTCGAATTGAGATTTTCAAGTCTTCTTTGCCAGAAAACAACAACAAATGGGATTTTGCTTTGAGATAAATTTTTCTTGCTTCCTGTTAAATTCCTGTCAAGCTGAGAACACTCCAAATGCTATTTGAGGAATACATATTAGATAACCCTAAGGAACTTAAAACTCCAACACCCAAAAATGAAAGTGTTGGGAGAAACAAATATGGAGTCGATACAGTACAAATCATCAAATCGAACCAGATGGGACGGAAAAAAGTGGGCTTTTTTCAATGTTTCGAATTCAGAGACCTACCGAAAATGATTAATGGCCATTTCAAAGTTTTCATAGTTTTCGGTGTCTTTTTCAAAATAATATAAAGAGTGAAAATTTGAATTGGACTTGGTATGAGTAGTTACATGACTGGGATAGGCCTGTCCACGTGGCAAGGATTTTATAAACCACATTGCAATTAGAATAGTTAGTGAGATAGTAATTTTTTACTTCCGGAATCAGCTGAAATCATTTTTTTGTCTACGTTTTTGAGAGGAATCTCGATCTCGATACCTCTAACATAATCAAAGGAGACGCTTACAGTACTACTATGATTTTCAGTAAATCGGAGCAAATGTGGACGACCGCACTAGGGAACTGATTGGTGCCATATTGGAACTCTGGACCTGAAAATTTTCATTACCAAAACTCAACATTATTTTTTGATACCTTCTTCGGCTTAAAACAAAAAACGATTCCTTTCACAGCTTCTCGATATTGAGTGGACATTACCAAACAAATAAACATATGGAAACATGTGTTTAGAGATAATAATACGGAGAAAAAATTATAAAAAGAAAACAAGAGGACATTCGAGAGGAAGTAAAAATCCTCCTGAAAAGTGAGAGAAGAATCCACAAGGAATATTATACCAAGGGGGAATTCGGCAACGAAAAATGTTAGAGTGAGGTACAGTATTAGTTTCGTAGTTCGATTCGAATCAAGATTTTTCTGGCCTGATGATAGCCTTTTACGGGACTCCGTGGCTTTTCGAAGTTCCAAAACTAGTAGAAAAGTTGAAAAGGGATATAAGAGGCAAGGAATGATCTGACAAAAAACTGTTTTTCAAAAAATGTATACCTTTTTACCTTGGAAACAATTCCATCTGAAATTGTATAAATGTCATACCAAAAGTGATTGTTTTCTAGTAAGAAATCTGAGTATGTAGAAAAATAAGAGTTATACTTTCCTCCTTGTTCATTTTCACATTCCATTTCTCCATTATACATTTCAGAATATTCAAAAAATCCAAGCACAGTGGAAGGTAGGGTAATAAAAATCACTGCAGTGATAAAATACAATGAGGTTTTAGGTTGAGGCAATTTCTCGAGATTCGAGCTCATGGGGTACCGTATCACTAGAGTTCGGATAAGAGAGATGCTGAATCCCAAAAACGTGGAATACCTTCTTACTGTAGTTTGTAGCCAGAAGAGTTTATTTTCATAGAACACCAAATAGTACCAAAAATCATAACACTGGGATTCTAAATAGACTTCAACGTTACGATAAATTCCGTAAATCTGGGAAAGGATGTCTGCGACGGCCACAGACGCCATAACCAAATTTATAGATGTCGATCTCATAGATTTTCTAGTCAAGATTGAAAAGTGGCAGAGGTTTATGACGACACTACTCACAAAAATATAAATATCAAGGCTAGCGAAAGCATTTGTAAATTCTACTAGCCCAGTTAGAATAGTGCATAAATAAATTACTGTGTTATTACTGTAATTTGGAAAGTCGCTCTGTCTGCATTGGAAATTATCCATGAAGAACTAGAGAGAGCAAACTAGAGAATATAAAATGTTTTGAAAAAACATGAAAGGAAACTTTGGCTAGAGAGTAATTGTTGGGTATCTGACTTGAGAATTTCGGAAGCACGAATGATGCCATTATATAGCTTTTATATTTTCAAATTGATTTGATTGTTTTTCTAGAATGATTCAGTTGATATTTTTCCAAAAATCTTATCTAGGAACTAAAAAAAAATTGAAGCCAAAATTCAAACTTGTTGTTAGGAGTAACGTCCTACTATAGGAAATAAGATATACCGGAAGCCCACCCAAACCGTACACTTTAAGTTCAATTATCTCAATTTCGGTGAATGATATCAAAAAAGTTGTCAACTAACAAAATATTGGTGATATTATGATAAATTTTTATCAGTTCACAAATTTTTGATATCTTTAGAACCAACTGAGATAACTGTGCTCAAAATACATGTATAGGGTAAGCTTATATTGAAACATTTACTGTAGTTCATTGGGTAACTGCGCAGCACTCTTGAAATTTTGTCCGAGTTTTATTCCTCGAGGAGATTGTTTTGCAACCCAACATCTTCTCCATTTCTCTGACCACCCTGACAACTCTATTAGCATAAAATACACACAATTTGAAACAGCTGTCCTTGAATTTCCACAATTGAGTGAATAGAAAAAAGACATCTGCACCTAATTTATCGTTTTACACGGCCCGTTTCACGCCCGTTTCTCATTCGACAGATGTTCACAAACCCAGTTTCTCTCTGTCCACAGATTATAAAGATCATCCAATAAACCACACGAGAGGAAAATAAAATTCACACTTCCTCGTCACATTTTTTCTCTCTTTTTCTCTTCAGCCATGCATCGTTTCCTTATTCTGATTGGATTTTTGACCATAAAAACTAGGCTGGAAGCAGTCTGTCCAGCTGAAAGTTCAAATGAAAAATGCTCCAAATTACTGAGCAATCTAACAATAGGCTCAATGGAAAATCTGGATATTGAAGCTGCAGAAGCACTGAATAAAACTTGTTTCGAACTTGTGGTGAGTATAGATTTTCGTGATTGACCAACGAAAAAAATTTCTAGGATTGCTATGCCGAAATCGATTGTGAACAAGCTCAGAAAAACAAAACCTTCTATCAGAATCTATGTGAACGAAAAGAATTGGAAATGTTTGAGACGGAAGCTTGCATAAAAACATTTCATTCGGAGCGAAAAGGGAAATCCTTTGAGTGCATGAAAGATTTTGAGTTTTTCTCGGTAAGGATTTTTTGTAACATTTCCAGGTATATAATTTCAGAAAGATGAATCCGTCCGCCGGGAAGCGTACACTTCTGGCAAATCCTGTTTTCTAGAAGTCACTCAAAATTGCTCAGACCTCTCAATCAACTTTATCGGGAAACGGTTCAGCCATTTGGTAAGCATCATGGCCAGGAAGACGGATGAAAAAAGTTGTGAACCGATACAAGACAAATTGCTCAGCTCCCAGTGCTCATGGGAGCTCACAGAGCTTTATGATGAGCTCACCAAGCAACAGACTCATGCTTTGAAGAGTCAAATAAAAGGAATAGTGATGCAAAACTTGACGGAAATGTGTCAGGATTCAAAGGTTAGTAGGATTATATGGGGTGTATGGACTTGTGAGGAATGAGGTATATGGACATGGGGAACTAGCCAAAATTAATTTTTAATAGTATTTTCAAACAATGATATGACACCTATAATTCTTAGAATAAATAAATGAAGTCGCGTCTCTTTCTCTCTCTCTGTTTGCCAGCTTCGCGCTGAAGGCGCACCAGCCAGCTGTTAGCCAGAGGCGCGACAAATAGGCTGATTTTACTGAAATAAATAATGCAATGAGTTTGGAAGGATTTCGCCAAGATTTTATCCTAGATGTTGTCAGAGTACCGTGAAACTTCTAATAGAGGGGCTTCCCTAACTTTCAACTTTGAGTCCAATTTTCTTGGTTCCTGTCAAAGCTATGAAAAAAGTTGTCAACTGATCGATTGACAGTATCATAAGTGTTTTGTCAGTTGGCACTTTTTTGATATTTCGCATAGGAATTGAGATAGTTGAGCTCAAACTTGAAAGTGTGGGGGCAATTCTATAACAGGTTCACGGTAAATTATAGATCCTGATTAAACTCTTCATAATTTCAGACTTGTCTCTCTACTGGCTGTCACGTCACTGAAAGATTGACTCGTGTGAGCGAAATGTGTGACAATCTCAACACACCAAAACAGAAGCTGAGTAATTGCCTCAAGAGCTTAGTGTACTCAACCGACACGCTGAAAAAATACAAATGCACCAATATGTCCGACGCGAAACCAAACTGGTATGGATCTCATTCAATTGAAGCTTACATGTTTTTAACGGATAAAGAATGCGTGAAAACATTGATCAAAGCAGAATGCGAGGAAAGCATCATGGAGGGGATTGACGAGCACTGGACGGAGGTCGGTCGAGTGATGGCGGGTGCATCGACTAATTGAAAATCGATTCCTAAAAAATGAAATAATAGTAATTGCTGTTAATTTGCTTTTTGAAATTAATCAAATTCTGAGAAAATAAAATAAATAGTTATTTTTCTCTTGGTGAACAAATCTCGAACTATGTATCAGGTTGTACACACTCCGGTTCAACTTACATTTCATTTTTTTAAGGAAACTCGCGTTCTGTATTTTAGCCGTCCTCGGATTTGTCAGTGCTCGGATCACTAAAGATGGTATAGAAAAAATACTCAACGCTTATAATAATTCAAGATCTGCTATTGCCAAAGGAACCTATCAATCAGAAATGATTCTCAAACCAAAAGCAGCCGACATGCGCAAATTGGTGAGGTTTAAATATTCAATAGTTAGTGAAAAGAAATTGTTTGCTTAGAGATGGGATTCGGCACTTGAGGCCTCAGCTCAAGACTTTGCCGACCGGTGTCCATATGGTGACATACCACGAATCGGAGTGAACATCTACGCGCCTCGTACTCTTGAAACAGTGAGACTCGAAAGTCTTAAACTCAAAAAATAAGATTTTTCAGGTAGACAAGTCCACGGAACCGTGGGAGAGGGAGTTTCGAGACAACTTATGGAGGTCCACTACGATGGTTGAAAATATTGGCAGCTCTTCAATGAGGCACGCTATTCAGATGGTTTGGGTGGAAACAAGTTTGATTGGATGTGAGGTAAATATCTGTGGGAGCCCTCAGGAAGGCTTGAGGACCACCTATGTGTGCCATTGCAATGCAGCGTGAGTGACTTTCGTTGGACAGTCTGAAAATCCAAAATTGATAATTTCAGAGGAAACCATAAAGGATTTCACATTTATATTGAAGGAGAAACCTGCTCTTCCTGTTCGGCCGGATTCGAGTGAAAAGGCATCTCCATTTGGTGTTCAGCAGTCGAATTTGGATGCTTAGCGTGTCTGCGTAGCAACTCAACAACTACGCTCAAGCGGATTTAGTTCCAGGATAAATGCTTTGAGTGATTGAAAACTAGCATTTAGCCCAGTACTGTGGTTAATTATCAAAGAAGTTCACAAGTACAAAAACTGAAAGTATTGGTATTATGAGAGATAAGGCTGATGTCGCGTATGTGTTTGAAATCATTTATCAGTAAAAGCAGAAACTTGTGGATCACTCGGCTGTCGGCTTGCAACTTCTGGACGGAAGTTGAGGGGGGTTCGGCTTTTGGGCGGATTTTGGTCAGATTTTGGTCAGAAGCTGCCCACTGACAGCAGTGGGACGGACAATGGTCAGATTTTGGCCGGATTTTGAAGGTTCATTTTGAATTCCCATAAATTAAAAACCGTAGAATTACTAAAACCGATAAAATCGTCACGGATACAAACCTCCATATCAGTTCGGTTTTTTTGTAGAATGAAAAAGACTTGTTCCGGGTGACGAGGAACGCAAAAAACGCTATAATGTCGTTTACCTCTTGAGAAAGCTTCAAATAATATAATAGTTCATTTCATTACTTTTGTTTAACTGATGGAAAATCTATCTAACAAGAAGTAAACAATATTCGAAAAAAAACAATTTTTCTGGAAAAAACATTACATTTTTCTTTAAAACAGTGAGAGTACTAAACCCAATAAAATCGTCACGAATATCATGACCTAGATTTTTTCAGGTCATGACCTAGTTTTTTTCAGGTCGTGACCTAGATTTTTTCCGGTCATGACCTAGACATTTCTAGGTCATGACCTAGTTTTTTTCAGGTCATGACCTAGTTTTTTTCAGGTCATGACCTAAATTTTTTAGGCCATGACCAAAAAATATCAGATTTTGGATTTCTGACTTCCGACTTCCGACTTCCGACTCCCGATTTAAAACTTTCGACTTAAAAATTCCGACTACCGAATTCCGAATTCCTATTTTCACCTGTTCAAAAAGTTTCATAACCCGTCGCAATGCCAAAAACAAACAGTAAAATATTAGATAAAACCTGAATTTCTTAAAAATGAAACATTTCCTGATTGTACAGTCATTTACACAAACAACATTCTATTTCCCACACTCGCACGCTTGTTTGGTGAAAAATCATCACGTCACTTTGAGTGTCTGAAAATCGTTCGAAGAATCAATTCCGTATCAGCTCACCCATCCCGGCAAACTATAAAAAGTGCGTGCATTCTGAAAAAAGTCGCAAGACTTCCAGTGAGTCAATAATGCGCATGCCAGTTTTGCTATTACCTTTTTTGGCAATTTCAGTTACCGCAGATCCGTTGATTTTGCCTCTGAACAAATTTTCATCTTTCGGCACTTCCCTTGTGAAGAATGTAGAAGTAAGGATGCATGTTTATCTATTAGTAAAATTACCAAAACTTTACAGCCAGGCGCGGATTTGTATTTGGCATCGAAGGATAGTAATGAGTACCTGAAAAACATTCAAATCACTACTGGAGGTAGCAGTATAACGTAGGCGTTTGAAGTTTAATAAATGTTTAAGATTTAAAATTTCCAGGCTAGACAGTTTGAACGGATTTAACGCTGACAGCTCCCCAAAACGTTTAAGAATCATTGATACCATGACAGTGTCTACAACTAACAATAATACTATTTCGAGTTGGCTTGGTGGAAATTTATACGTCACTACTAAAGCTCAAGCGGATGGTAACAAAAGGCACCCCTAAATACAAAAAAAGGCCACATTTCAGATCCAAGTTTCTCTGTGTACGTCATCAAGACCGAACACAACATTACAATGAAGTCAGGGAAAACTACAGCAGTGATTTTAAATACCAAACTTGAACCCTTTGTGTACATTGATCAGCCATTCAAAACGTCATACGTCACTGGAATCCAGCAATCAAAAGATGCAGTGGTTAATTTTAAATGGGGGATTCCCGCTTACAATTGGCAAAGTGTGGATACCAATAATACGTTTTTCAAGAACCCCATGGATTTGAAGAATGATACTTATACAGGTCTTATGTGTAAGTGTACCTACTTTTGACCTCCATTGAAACCTGTAATAGAAGTGCACCTACATTGTTAAATTTGAGCCCAAAACCTTACAAGGATGATTCCTTGGGTCGATCTTTGGGCTCAAATATCTCATTCTCTGAAAAACGTATAAAAAAAGACAAACTGACAAAATGTTGTTGCTATTTGAGATTATTCCGTCAGTTGACGGCTTTTTGATATAGTTTTCACAGGAAATGAGATATTGGCTCAAAGTTTAACGCAAGGACTCATCCTATAAAGGACCGGGCCGATTTGGATGGACTATGGCCGGCGTATAATTCAAGCTTATAGTTTTGATGTTGATTAATAACGAAAATTTAAGTTTTCAACCAAAACTCAAATTTTCCAGATTCTTCGATCACATCGAGCCCCTCCAAATCGGTTTCGAATACTGGTACATCATGGCCAATGGCTCAATCACTATGCAAATTGAGAATAAATTTATCACCGATCAAAACTACTCGACCACCGCTGCTACTACAACAGGACTCATCGTCAATGAACTCTTGTTCTATCCACATATTGTGACTTTCCAACCAGATTACACTCGTTCGGGATTTGCTGGATTCTTGGTGAGAATTTTCATCATTTTCATTGAGATTATCCATACTTGTGAAATTTCGGCCCGGCCCGGGCCGAGAGAAAATTTTCAGGGCCCGGCCCGGCCCGGCGGCCCGGCAGAAATTTCTAGTGCGTTTTTTTCTAAAATTTTATTGGAAAATTTTTTTAAAATTTAAGTTTCGAAATTTATAGAAAATTTTCTTATAGAAGCTTTGATTTTTTGAAGAAAAAAGTGCGAAAAAGTTGTTAATTATCAATTTTTATGCCAAAAAAAAAAAGAAAAATTTGATGTCCGATGGTCCCGAAACGAAAACTACAGTAGCCTGAAAAATAATTTAAATTTTCTGGTTTTTTTTCTCGATTTTCTCAACGATTTCACACCGAAAAAATAGAAAAAAGCACCGAAGAATATTATAAATCGGAAAAATTGCCCGAAAAACAAAAACTACAGTATCCCGAAAAATAATTTAAAATTTGCCAATTTTTTCTGCAGCGGTTATGTTTTCTTTTTGTTATATTTGAAAATTGTTATGATATCATGCTGTTTTTGTTTTTGAAAATGAATTTATTGATTTTTAAAATGTATTGAAAAATAACTCGAAGAAAAAAAACACTGAATACCTTTTTTCGAAACAATGATTCAACTTTTCGCTCAAGATTTTGAAGTTCGCGGTAAACTTCCGGGCCGACCGGGCCGACCGGGCCGGGCCAACCGGGCCTCCGGGCCGGGCCGGGCCGGGCCGGTGAAATTCGTGTTTCGGCCCGGCCCGGCCCTTCACAAGTATGAGATTATCGCTCACTTTCAGGTATCTGCCTTCCCCGAAAATGAACTCTGGTTCACCATGAGCTATGACTCCTCCTACACTACTATTGACTTTAACGGAACCAGTTCGATTGAAGACAGATCCTGGGCTCCTGAACAAGCTAGAATGCTAACGATTAACAGTACCAATCAAGTTGCTGGAGTTTTTTACTGTCAGTATTTTTCTTATGCTGGGGATTTGTTGCCCATGACTAGTACGAGCTCGCCGACCACCAGTATGAGGGGTTCAACCGGTATGACTACAAATACTACTATTGTTTCAACCACAACTGTTGGTACTACCACCAGTGGAGCGTGTTTCATGAGTTTATGGGTTTTATTTGTATCTGTTGTGTATATTATCTTTTGAATGAAGTTTATTTCTTATGAATTGAAGTTTTTGTGATTTTTTAAATATTTTTTTTTCAAAAAAGGTACGGATGATGTCGTAGTATTAAAGGAGAGACAATATGTGGTGAGGCTGAACAGTAATCGGAGTTCATACAGTGCGTGGATATCGCTATGATGCGCAAATTCCGCCACCGTAGCTGAGCTGAAAAATTCCTCGAGAAATGCCCCTTTCGAGAAATTTTCGAGGAAATTTCGACAAAAGTTTCTTGAAAAAAATTTTCGAAAAAAGTTTCTCGAGAAATTCCTCAAAAAATTGTTTCGAGAAATATTTTTCGAGAAATTCCTCGAAAAAAATTCCTCGAAAAAATTTTTTCGAGGAATGGATTCTTCGAAATTTTCCGAGAAATGTGCTATACAATGCGCGTAGCGGAATTTCGGAGTGTCGTTTGCGACTTTTTTTTCAGTTTTTGGTCGTTGCTGACATTGTTTTCTCGTTTATTTTGTCATTTTAAAGTGGTGGCCTAACTTTTTCAAATTTGATTTTCTAGGCCACCACTTCAAAATGGCTTAGAAATCATGCCAGGGTCATGTTAGGGCATTTTTAGGCCATTTTGAAATGGTGGCCTAACTTTTGCAAATTTGATTTCCTAGGCCACCACTTCAAAATGACCTATAAAACACACCAGGTTAATGTCAGGCCATTTCTAGGCCATTTTTACGTGGTGGCCTAGAAAACCAAACTTGCAAAAGTTAGGGCACCATTTGCAAAAGAATTCGTCTCGAAAATTTTTCGAGGAATTCCTCGAAAATTTTCTCGAAGTCGTGTCGAAAGGACACACTGTTTGTGACTATGTAGATCAATTCTATTTTTCAATTTTTTTTCTAAATTCAAACCCAAATTTCTCATACTCTCATATCCTGACTAATTAGGTGGTTGTTTTCCAGTCTACTCAACATTCCCTGTTGTTTTTTGATCCTACCCGGAATTAGAACCTGCTCAATTTAAAACCATTGAATTAGAACCATTTGAATCGTTTCTCATCAAATTGCTAGCTGCCATGAGAGAACTCACTCGGAAAATTTAGGCTATAAGCTGGGAATCTAATGAGAATACAACTGTTTTCCTTTCCTTGTTTTTTTTCCCATGGTTTCATGTCTGTTAGTCATTATTTTTCTCTTTTATCTTACAGAAATCACAAATCCCTTGTTCTACTTCCTATTTTCTTGTGCTTCGATGTTCAACTACAAATATTCGGTTCCGGTTGTAAGTTAATTTTGTTCCAGAGTGAATCACTGACGATTGTTTCAGATTGGATTCATTGGATTCGTTCTCAACCTATTTCTATTCATTCGATTTTCCACCTCAAGCAAGAAGCCATTCAGCAGTTTCCATAGACTATGTCTGTTTAAAACTATTCCAAACCTTATAATCAGTGCTGTATTTGCCTTCTGGACATCCGCAATTTCAATTCTGGGAGCTACCTATGCCCATATCCCAAGAATCGAAAACATCATAATATCCCAAGCTGTCAGTGGATTCCCATATTTCTTGGCTCCTCTTATTCAAGTATGTATGTCTGTTAATCGATTCTTCGTTATATTTTTCCCATTTTCAAATTCACAACCTGGACGTCTTCCGTTTACAAATTTAGCGCTTACTTTCTGTTTGCTACTGTCACATATTCCCCTTCTTTTATCAGCTTTGAGTGTGTTAGTTAGTTTAAAACCGTATTTATTAAGATTTTTCAGCTGACTGCTACCTAGTTTATGATCCAGAACTATGGATATTTCTACCGGAACGTTTAGAAGAATGTGGACATGCTATGGATCGACTGACATTTCTAACTGTAGGAATACTGTCATTTCTATCGAATGGGTTTAATTTGATCATTTTTGCAAAACTGTTAAAAGATAAAGTAAGACCGTAAAACCTGCATGTTCTTTTCTATACCGTCCAGTTCGAGCTCAATTGTTTCAATTTCTATGCAAGATCAAGAAACTTTCAGATGGTTGGAATCAATGAGGAACAAAAACTGAAAAGAAGAAAGAAATGGCAAAAAATGTATATTCAAAGTGTCCTTCAAGATTTCATTCAACTAATTGACATTGCCAATTACAACTTCACTTCTAAACTGATGGATACAGAATTGTGGAGTTTCATCTTCTGCTCCTTATCCTTTGCAATGGTATACGCTCTGGACGGAGCTGTGATGGTCTACTTCAATATAGATTGGAGTTTTTGTTGCATCGATCCCAAAAAATCAAGTGTATTTGTATCAGGAGCACAAAGTAGTACAGTGAAACCTGGAGGGAAAAGCAATAGGCTTATTATTAACTAATCTGTAAGTGATCAGTATACGGAACCTTGAGAATGACTGACTTATATTCAGGATGACGATTTTGATCAGAACAAGATTTTTAAGGGGGACTGCGGTCAAATTTTTTATTGCATTAAAATGTGTTAAAAGTTATCTATTTTCCTAATATTATCGCAAAAAAATTCGAAAGAAATCAGAAATCCCCAAAAAACGCCGTTGAAAAGGAAAACAATTCAAAAAAAGGTGCCGCCGAGGGACGAGGATTTTCA